AGCTGATAGAAAACAATTAACATCAAACATACAGTAGTAACACTTTATTTACATGAAATCTAACAATTGAAAAGCAAACACAATGGGCTTTTCACCCATTCAATATACCAGGCACCTTGCGGTAACTTGGTCCTAGGACTAAAAGATAAACATACATTCTCAGCCCTACTTGACACAAGCCAGGGTTGTCTTCCCCAAAGGGAGCCTGATCGGCTAAAACAACAGCTTCTAACCTCCCCTTGTATTCAGCTTAATTAATCTACTAATGTACATGTATGACAGTTAGAAAGAATATATGAAATCTTCTTTTACCCATACAATGTTTGTGTTGAATATTAAAACCAATGAAGAAAAAAAAATAAAGTTTACAGTATACATGTAAGATATACATCAACCAGTAATATTGTATATCCTTCTCCTTAAAACATAGTATGAGCATGTTCAACATGGAGAATGTGGAGCACTGCAAGGCTTTCTTTTTAATGTTCCTTTCATTTCTAAAGTTCTCCTGTATCCATCTTTGGCATGGCTTTAGCTTTGGCTTCTACCTCTTTGTCATCTTCCGTGTCTGGAAACAAGGTCTGTGAAGTTGCTGCAGATTCTGTGTGAGTGTTTGACTCTCTGTCATTGTCATCATCGTCTGTGTCTTCATATAATGCTGACAAACTAAGCTGAGAAGACTGTAACTCATCTTCAACCTTCTTCAATGATTTCTTCTGATTTTCGATCTCTTTTGCCATGCTCCAATTCTTCTTCGATAATTCACAATTTCTTTTACGCAAGTCTCTGATGGTTTGGTCTGTAGTTGTGATTTTATCATCTATTGCTTCTGCAAAACCATGAATTCGCTTTATGCCATCAGCAACATTATAGCGACCTCCACTCATTCTAGTACACATTCCTATAATGCATAGTGTTGCGCTTTGAATTTCCTTCAAGGTATCCATGGCTGGTACTTTGTCCTGTGAAATAACAACAGAACGTTATGTAAATTTAAGATGAGACATTCTAATACTGTTTTTTTTTTTAATTCTTATTACGATTTTAAAAAAATTCAATTTTTAGGCCAGTCTGGAAGGCTTCTTCTTTTTGTTTGTATGTAAAATATCTACGGTTTGATACTCACAATTTAAGTTGTAAAAAGGACAGCAGATCAGAAGGACTGTCAATTTGTATCCATCAGTTTCTTGAGAAACAAGCTGTTGGCTGTTAAAAAACAAAGAAAGCTAAATCAGACTGACATGCATTTATCATTTCATATCAATCTGAAAAAGTGGTGATTGCATTGAAATGGGAGTACTGCTTTGATTTGACTCATTGTAATTGAGCACCGTACATGTACATCCATTTTATCTCTCTCTTTTTTTTTCTTTCTTTTTTTGTCCATAATTTCAAGCTACATGTACATGTACTGATTAGCTTTGTTGTATTATCTCATTATAATTCATTGACCTGATCTTTTTACGAAAGAGTATTTCTACTTTCATTTGGTACCCCAAATTGCTTTCGTTCTGAAGTTGCAAAACACCACTTTTTCATAACTAGAGCATATTACTGACAGATGAGTACTCTTAGTGGTAACATTTTACTTGATAAGTACAATGTTTGCCATGATATGTTTTGAGTAATATCATTTTCGAAAAGTATCCATATCTTAGATTAGATGGTCTTTCAGCCATATTGCTTTCACCCTTTTCTCTGCACAAATGCATTGCTTATAATATTGTTAAAACCAAATAATTAAATATTTCAATTTTGATTCACAAGTAGACGTGATTTTACTCGGTTATGCATTTGTTTAATTAAGCAGATCACATCTTTATGATGATAGTGAGAGCAATATGTTACCGGCACCACGACAGGGACGTAGACCATTGTATCAAAGCATGTGCAATTTTTTATTGCCTTCACAACATACAAATTTGTAGGCCTTTTAAAGTTATATTGAACATGCTTTGATTGGTGCCATGGTTTTTTTTCCCTCTCTTTTTGTTTTATTTATATCAGAACAAAGATTACAACAATGCCTTCAATACATTAATCTTACATATCATAAATAGCATTTTTTTTCTTCTTCCTGGCTTTTGCAAGTTTTATATTATTCAAAAAAGCATTAAGTTTTAAAGATGTAATGTCAGTGTAGTTTCCTCTCTATAAAACGAAGAGTATTGCTATTATAATACACTACATATGATATGTTATCATTTATTTGTCACTACCGGTAGCACCCACTAAACCAGAAAAAACTTGCCAATAGGTTGGTTAACATCAAACCTGGGTTATATAATTTTGGTAAGATTCAATAATATCAATTATATTGGTCTCTTATGAAATACTCAAACTCTAAAAAGGCAAAGTGACCGTTACAACAATTTTTTACACGCTGTATCTTTGTGAAAATTTGAATTTTACCGTTAGAGCAGAGTTAGCGCCCTCTATTGGCAGTGATATTATTTTCCTCAAAGTAGGCCACCCGAATAATTATTTCATAGATTTAGCTAATTGATATCAAAAAGCTGTACAAACATATTACCCTGAAATTTCTCCTCCCCATCCATGCCTGTGAAGTTCTTTTATATCAGAAAGAAAATATTGCTAATTTTCTTGAACCCTGACTTTTGATATACATTAAAGACACTATTATCATAATATCATGCCTATTTGTAATGATTTTTAAATCTCATTTTCAAGCGATATGTGTTTTATTATATAATCTTTCATTCTATCTTACCATAAATTAAAACTTTGAGTTTATATTTTGAGATTTACCAAAACTATACCCCAGCGTTAAACAAATGAAAAATTTTAAATTTCAGAGAAATACACTATAAGATAAATGACGATTAATACATAGCTGTTGCTAACCTTATACTAAACTCTGACATTTATTCTGCATCCGACACCCTGGTAAATTATCATCAACCTGTAACATTGCCTCATCTCTTTTAAAACATCAATAATATATATAGAGAACTTTGTACAAAATGTTATACAAAAGCCACTTATTTCAGATCATATTTTTATTTTGCTTGATTTCAAAGACTACTGTGACAATATTGCATTATGAGCTCTTTTGTTACGCAACTGGCAGAGAGTAAAATCTAAAAATGTTTTCTTATTAATCATTGCATCAAAATATGTCAGTTTTAGTGGGATAAAATCTTGCTTAAATGTTTCGTAAAATAAAGACTTGCAAAAATATTTCATAGATATTTCACCAATCTACATGTATAATGTACATGTATAAAAAATCTTTTTAAAAATATGAAGTTTTCTTTAACCTGTGTAATTTTTCTGTTGAGTAGTAAAAAGGACGAGGAAAACAAAACAATATACATGCTCCGGTAATATCATATTTCCTTCTCCTTTAACATACTTATATAGATGCTTTCAACATAGAAAATTTGGAGTGCTTGCAAGGCCTAAATAGATTTTACTATCTTTGTAGTTGCTTCAACATTCTCATAACATAATTCATCAATGCCATTTTTTTCTATTTTGTTTTCTCTAGTTAATGATTTAAATACGATTGCAGAGAACAACTTACATGTACTAAAAATAGAAAACGGAATACCATGCGCTTTTCCCTCATTCTATATACATGTACCAGGCACTTTGTGACAACTTTGTCCAAATATGAACATAAATTGTCAGCCCTATTCGACACAAAGCAGGGTTAAAAGCCTAAAACAGACTAAACCAACATCCCCTTGTCTTTCTAATTTGAATACTTTCCCCCAGCTATATCACTTCCCATAGAAGGAAATTAGATGATATCAATATATTCTCTTGACCTCCTGGTACATTGTACATGTACATAATGACACAGAGTTAAAACAATTGTTAAGGATGATACATTGTACATTGTATGTTATCCATCATTTTTATACATGTAGGCAGAATTAAACCATCATAAAATTTCCAATAGGTTTCACACTTAAAATTATTCTCCCATATAGATTTTACTTTCTTTTTAGTAGTTTCAACATTCTCATAACATGATTCATCAATGCCATTTGTTTAATTATTTTGTTTTCTCTAGTTAATGATTTAAATACGATTGCAGAGAACAACTTACATGTACTAAAAATAGAAAACAGAATACCATGCGCTTTTCCCTCATTCTATATACATGTACCAGGCACTTTGTGACAACTTTGTCCAAATATGAACATAAATTGTCAGCCCTATTCGACACAAAGCAGGGTTAAAAGCCTAAAACAGACTAAACCAACATCCCCTTGTATTTGTAATTTGAATACTTTCCCCCAGCTATATCACTTCCCATAAAAGGAAATTAGATGATATCAATATATTCTCTTGACCTCCTGGTACATTGTACATGTACATAATGACACAGAGTTAAAACAATTGTTAAGGATGATACATTGTACATTATACATTGTATGTTATCCATCGCTTGTATATACCGGTAGACAAAATTAAACCACCAGAAAATTTCCAATAAGTTTCACACTGATTATTATTCTCCCAAAGAGAAATGTGTTAATTTTAGAGATTGAGTAACTTTGTAACTCTTGATTTAAAGATATTGGCTAATATCTTTAGAATTTCAAAAAAGCTCATTTTACTAAAAACTTCAAAATGGTATAAACATATGAGTTATACTTCAAAAATACCAATCTGAATGTCTCATATTATAATATATATGGGAAATACTTTTAAATAGTGAAAATCTGACACAATGTTTGTAAACGATATAAATCGTTTTTTAACGGTCGATTCTTGCAACGGCCGTTTCAATTTCCTTGTTAGAATTTTTAAAAAAATCTAATTTTGTTACTTGAAAATGGTATTAACATACATGAGTTCAAATATCACGACGACAACCGTAATTTCCCTTTAATATAACGACGAGAATCAATACTCAGAATCTCTGTTTTGACCTATCTAAAGTGTTTCATTCCAAAATTTTGTTGGTTTCAGGGTTTTTGAGTAAATATTAAGCTATCCATATACATATTTCTTCTGGACTTTGATTTTTTTTTTACAACTATATGCCTACAATGTTATGTTATGTCTTTAATAGATTTTTTTTATTACTATACAATCATTTTCTTTTTTTTTTTTACTTCTGTGGCTTCATCTGCTTCATCTCTGCCCTCAACTCCTTTACCTCATTTGACAGATATTTTAGTTTCATCTCAATATGTTCTGTTAGTTGAACAATTCTCTCGGCCTTAACATTGATTTGCTCAATTGCTCCCACATCTAGGATCTTGTCAACTTCCATTTTATAACAGTCTCCTCTGATGAGCATTGCTTTCACGATAATTTCGGTAGTTTCCAAGATGGGGTCCATCTTGTCCTGAATATTAAAACAAATAATATTGTAAGAGATGGTAGAATAACTTATTTCAATATTTCCTAAGTACTATGTTAACAACTTTATTTAACCCCCCCCCCCCCTCCTCAAAAAAAGAAGAATTGATATCGACATGTTATCTGAATTTCAGTTAAAATATATGTTTTTATGGTACTCTTCCTGGTAAATAAATTCAACAGCAAACTAAATCCCTCTAAATCAAAAGGGCATAACTTTTTAACCATTTTTTGTTGTTGAAAATATAAGTCTTCCCAATCAGCAGCAGTTATTCTTTCACTCAATATAAAGCATCTTTGTCATGTGGGCCTTGTCCAAAGGCTATGCATGAGAGAGCACACATTTAAAGTCACAAGAGTTTTTTTTTTTTTTTTTTTTTTTTGGGGGGGGGGGGGGTCATTTTCATGAATTCTGTTTCTGGGGCATATTCAATTGCTGTTGTTTATCATCCATTGTTAGACTCCCATCCTAACCCTTTTTTTTCATCAACCCTCCTAATTTTTTGCAAAATCCGTTCAGTGTGCTGAAATAATTAACATCAGATATTAAATGACGATTTTGCCTTTAATTTGTGCTCACTTGTGTGTGTGTTTACAACAATAGTGTTACCTTTTCTAAGCATCTTAGCACCAGACTAAATTGATATACACTGTAGACAAGTTTAGCTATTCAATGAACGACGAGACAAAACAGTCTTGAAATAGAAATTAAAAATAGATTTAATAGATCCCATTCAAATATACATGTATACATGTATAAGACATTTTTACCTACATTGTAGTTAGAGGCGATGCTTATTTTTCAACAAATTCATGCAAACTGAGGCACTGGACTTCTACTAAAGGATTAAAGCCCCTTATACAAATCACTCCATCTACTACATTCCTCTACCATTAAAATTTTTCAGAAATGACTTCTATGACCTTCACCTTTAAGCTAACTACTCGAAATTCTAGTCGGATCATCTTTCTATGGTGATTTGTACGCCGTGACGTAGCTATATCTACATGATTTGTACACATATCGAATATAAAGTTCATATATTAACCTTTACGAAATAGGGGTGTTTTCAGCTTTCAGGGGGGGGGGGGTGATCTGTGGGCCCCTCCTAAAGATGCGAGCCGATCGTCACAAAATTCAGCACCCGCCTCGGAAATTATGCGAACGAAGAGATCTAATTTTCTTTTTTTAATTGCTTATTTCTTTAGTTAAATGTTACAATATTCCATAAAACTTCAAAAGAGTTATTGACAAATTGCCACTGTCCGTTTCATTTCTAAATCTAAATGTATTACATTGTTTTATGACTCCTGATACTTACAGTTATTAAAAGGGGTAAATTTCAGTTTTGAAAAATGATAAATCAAGTCTAAAAAGTGGAATATTACTTATAGACCCAAGAGTTCAAGCAAAAAAGACATGAAGTGGCATTGCTGAAAGCACAACAATTTTTATTGCCCTACAAAACTTGTCTAGGCGGGGGGGGGGGGGGGGGGGGGGGGGGGGGGGGGGGGGGGGGGGCCTCAAATACCCTTTTACAAATAAATAGATACTGCTGTGTATTTCATTTTATAATGCAATGTTTCTCAACAAACATTACAAAAAGCAAGACTTAAAGGGACTTGGTAACATTGTTCAGATGAATCAATGCTAGATGTACAATTAAAGGGCAAGTCCACTCCAAAAATAACTTACTTTCAATAGAAGCAGAAAAATCAGACAAACCAATCATAAAAAGTTTGAGCAAAATCGGATAACTAATAAGAAAGTTTTGAATTTTTAATGACATGACAAACTTTGAAAATCACTAGATAAATTGGCAACTCACTCATAAGTCTGTGACGTCATGTCCTCACTATCCACTAATTATTATCTTTATATTGATAATATAAATTTCCTTTTTCCCCCTAAGAATCTTATTTCTTCACTCCAGCATCCAAGTTGGATTAATAGCAATATTTTTGTGTCAGGATGCACTAATAAAGACTATTTTTTTTCTAGTTAAATCATGAAAAATTTGACTTTTGATAAACCATTTAAATAAAAATCAATAACGAAAGTAGTATTAATTATTCAAAGTTCATAAAAGATTGTGTGAAATGTCATGCACGCAATATGATATAAATCATATAACATGGGGAAATCAAGTTTTGGGGGATAAAAAGGGAAATTAATGAGATTAAACTACATAAAGCAATTAATAAATAGTGAGGACATGACTTCACAAACTGATAACCGAATTGGCAATTTGTGTAGTGATTTCCATTGTTCCATAGTTTTACATACTTTTTCAAAAATTCATAACTTTCTTATTAGTTATCTGATTTTGCTCAAACTTTTTTCGATGGTTTGTCACATTTTACTCCTATATTAAAAGTCAGTTATTTTTGGAAGGACTTGTACTTTAAAGATAATCTGAAAGTTTGAGTAAAAACAGGACATTATTAATGATACGAATTGATTTTTTTTCCAGGATATTTTGCATGTTAGAGGGTTAGTACAGTAGAATATAATAAATAACATTTCATACACAAATTACAGTTTTTTTATCAACCTTCAACAATGCTACCTAGTCATTTTAAAGAAAAGGTCGAGTTCTGGGGAGAGGTGAAAATTAATTTGTTAGCATTGTCATTGTAAATGCAAATCTAAAAGAACATCAGAGAAAAAAATCTTCCCTGAAAAGCATGGCTCTTCAAATGCCTTAATATTCTAAATATGACAAGTTGAGCAACTTTAAGATGAGGCCAGATTTTTATGCCACATGTTTGTGTAGTCCCATATACATCTTTCTGTGTACAGTGCTTGTTACGTTACCAAGACTGGGCCAAATTTCTAATCATTTTGATGACTCCAGAGCCTAGCAGTCCACACCAATCTTTAATATATGCTACATGATCAACTTTTTATGATAGATTCAACACTGTTTCTTTCACAATGCAATCGCATGACCAGAACTCAACTTTATCTTTAATAAGAGCAGTTAATTAGTTTTTCCATGCAGCTTTACAGTCCATTGCTCTCTGATTTATAGAATGTTTTTTGAACTCGAGGCTTGCAAAAGGAATATTTACTACTTCTAACTATTTGGGGGGACTTGCCCCCTACAAGCTTAGAATAGCCCTAGTTCGTGGGATTCATTTGTTTCAGATTATTTGTATGATTAAGTTTATTTGTACAAATGTTTTATTAGACTTATGTGTGTTGCACAAGCTCATTGCATCTGGCATGGGTTCTCTGGGCACGGGTGACTCACCAGTCAATAGAATTCTTTTCACTTTTCATTTTCAATGGCTAAAAAAGTTTTTCATCGATTCCATTCACATTCAAACAAAAACTATATATGCTTGTTGTTGTTTTTCTTCACAATTCACACTAAATTTGAATACTAGTTCAGGGGAAAGTTATAGTAAAAAAAAAAAAGTAAAATAAATGTGTACACATTATAGAAGTCTTGAACCAGTCAGAATAGATACAACTGTATGACACCATGTACCTATAAGAGGCAAGTGAATGTATAGTAGCCGTTTATATCTAGTGTTGGCCAACTGTAGATCACTATAGATATTTCAGATTTCCATGGTATTTGGCAATAATAACAGTTGATCAGATTCAAAGTCAGTTTTCGATTTATAAGCACACTAGTTCTCTAATTTGTTTAGAGATTGATAAACTTGATATATCATTTAGTGTGAATAAATATAAATAAATCAAACCATACCAACCAATGACTTTAGTAGTTTATGCTTGTTGGCTATCAATTTCAATGTGAATAGGATCCATGAAATGCTTCTTGAGATATTGAAATGAAAAAAATGCAAAGAGATCTATTTAACTCCTGGTGCATGCTGTATGCAATGAACTTAGATGCTTTCCCTATGTTAACCCTATGTTAACCCTAGTCCCTACCATATTGTTAGGTCCTGTCCTAGTGCCGTTCTGTAGGGAGCATTGGCGACTTACTTGTGTTGAGCCTATGCTCGGTCGCACCACCATACTCCTATACTAGGCACCGTGTCTTTTATTTCAATTGTGTATGACCGGAATTCTGTATTCGTACGCCCTATTAGGACTGTTGGACTTCAGCCACTTGCTTCGGCACGTACTAGCCCAGAATTCTTCGTACAGGTCATATTCACAGGACTATACTAACCAAGTGTGTTGGCTTCTCAGATGCTCGGATGCTAGGATGTTCTGTTGGCTTCTCAGATGCTCGGATGTTAAAATGTTTTGTTGGATTCTCAGATGCTTGGATGCTAGGATGTTCTGTTAGATTCTCTGATGCTAGGATGTTCTGATGTTGAACTCTCAAAAATTGATAACTGACTGTAAAATTAGCCTCTATATATACTAATTGGAAGGATCCTGGGCACTAAATATACTAATTAGAAGTTCGTCCATAACCAATCAAATTTCCAAGTGACATAACGGACCAATAAACTTACACATGCAAATAAGGAACTTATCAGACATTTTATGTCTACCTTTGTTTGTGGATCCTAAGACAATAATGTATGGCCAATAAAATCTTAGATGCAAATGGGTAGCTTCAAAAGCAAAAACTCTTAGCCAGTTAAATCATTTGTTTTTCCCTCCTCATATGCAAAGCATATGCAAAACATAAACTTATCAAAGAAGCTGAGGCTATTGGTTCTTTGTGGATCTTAAATAGCAAATCAGATCTATCATGCAAATAAAAGATCCCTCATATTTCCCTCCTAATATGCAAATCACCCTCCTAATATGCAAATCACAAGCCTATCAGACATGCGCAGATTTGGTTAACTTCTTCCTTGTCTGTGGATCCTGCAGCAAATCTGAAAGCCAATCAAACATCATATTCAAATAGATAGATCCTGGGACAAAACTCTTAGCCAATGAAATTTCTTTATTTTTCCCTCCTATATGCAAAGTATATGTAAATTAGACAGGCACAGGTGCTTCTTTGTCTGCACAAGATTCTGGTGCAAAGCTTTAGCCAATCAAAACTACAGCTCATACATCCCTTAGACATGTGCCCTGGGCATGTACTATGTGTTAAAGGGATAGTTGGGTTTGGTATAGAGAGTACAGTTTTGGTCAAACTGAATTTTAGTAACCAAAACCTGCACCATTAAAAACTAGTAGTTAATAACTGCACCATGCTCGAGAGGTATACAAAAAATTACAAAGGACTTGGTAATAAGCCTGTTAACAATTAAAAAGAGCAGTTAAACCACATGGGAGAGTTCTCTAAAAAGTCATCGGTTTCATCCAATTTTGATAATACAATTGAGCATGTTATGCTTTGTTAAAATAATGATTAAATAGAGAGATCATCAGCAACTGCTTAAAAGCATCGGCTAGTTAAGAATTATTTAATATTTTCGAGGCCCCACAAATATAAAAAATGGTTATATTTATGGATATTTCAGCCGTATCTGAACTGATTTTGACCAAACAAAAATGATTTTGTCATTTAAATTGTATGCTCTTTCAAATTTGACACTCAGTTTTTCATTTTCTTCACTAAAAAACAATTGTGTAGCGCCCTCTATACCAAAACTCAACTATCCCTTTAACATGTATGTTAAGACTGCATGCTTTTCTGTTTCTCACCTTTGCCCTTTTTATGCCTCCGCCACCGAAGGTGGTGCCGGAGGCATCATGTTTTCGGGTTGTCCGTCCGTCCGTCCGTCCGTCCGTACGTCCGTCCCACTTGACCGTTATCACAATATCTCAAGAACCATTTAAGATTTAAACTTAAGACTCGGAAATAGTATTTATCACCATAGGAAGACGATCTGATTAGATTTTGGAGTACGTAGGTCAAAGGTCACAGGTCACAGAGGTCAACTTATGAAATTCCTTGTATTGAGTTTGTTAGCGCGATATCTCAAGAACCATTTGAGATTTAAACTTCAAACTTAAGGATAGTATGTATCACCATAGGAAGACGATCTGATTAGATTTTGGAGCACGTATGTCAAAGGTCAAGGGTCACAGAGGTCAACTTATGAAATTCCATACATTGAGATTGTTATCATGATATCTCAAGAACCACTGGAGATTTAAACTTCAAACTTAGTGATAGTGTGTATCACTATAGGAAAACAATCTGATTAGATTTTGGAGCACGTATGTCAAAGGTCAAGGGTCACAGAGGTCAACTTATGAAATTCCATACATTGAGATTGTTATCATGATATCTCAAGAACCACTGGAGATTTAAACTTCAAACTTAGTGATAGTGTGTATCACTATAGGAAAACAATCTGATTAGATTTTGGAGCACGTAGGTCAAAGGTCAAGGGTCACAGAGGTCAACTTATGAAATTCCATACATTGAGATTGTTATCATGATATCTCAACAACCACTGGAGATTTAAACTCCAAACTTGTTTAAATTGCTCTATGGCGGAGGCATCATTTTCGACTGCGCGCAGTCAAAATTCCATCTAGTTTGTCATGCTTTTAAAGTTAGAACATGTTTTTTTGTCTTTTTGAATTCAAAATGGGCTCATGAATTGTTATCCTTCATAATTCGTAACAAAATTAGGATAAACATTTGATGTTTGATCATTTGAATTGCATGTGTCATTACTTAAAATATTTAATAAACAAAAAAATCCCTAGCCCTATCAGATACATGTTAGGACGTTGCCTCATCCAATTAATTCAATTTCTATGTCTGTTCCTTTATTCTGTTGCTAGCATTGCTTGTATAGTCAATTAGGTCCCCCCTTTGAAAAATTAACCATGATTTTGATCTGTCTCATGCAATATGAGTACTGACTGGTGATCAATTCATTTAATGAAATGATGCTATCCCCATTACAGGTGTGTTCTCGCTGTGTTAGATGCAAGAGTTGTGGTGCTACCACTCCAGGCTCAGACCCTAAGGCTCAGTGGATGCATGGTTTCTCACACTGTCAAGAATGTGGAAAGCTCTTTGAGAAAGGTCAGAATAATGTTATGTGTTTTATATCTTGCTCATTAGTGAAATGTAAATCATGGTAACAAATATATTGGTAATTTTGTCTTGGGTCACTATACTTAACTTGTCCAGTACTAGGTGGATAATCTAGTCAGCTTCTGGCAGGTGAGGGCTGATTATAAAGCTTTTTATTGTCTCACTGATTGTCCATCTTTATAACCCTATTTCTGCTTACAACTTTGCATATGAATATTAGCTAAATCGTACTTGTTTGCTGTTAAGTAATATAATAAGTTTCATAACTGTTGATAATAATTTGGGGGGTGTTTCACAAAACTTCTAAGTCTAACTTAACTCTAAGGTTGAACTTAAATATTATGGAGAGCCAATTGTAGCCTTATAATGAAATATATTCAAAAGCAAAATTGAAGTATTTTAGACTTTTCATAAATTTCACATCAAGAGCATGAAATCTCCCATGATAATAGAAAATATGAATGCTTTGAATCAACATTTTATGCCTTTTAAAATAACTTTTACAAAATATTTTCAAGGATGCTAATGGCTTTCCATAATTGTTTAGTCCAACTTAGCAGGTAAGTTTGACCTATGATCTTTTTGAAACACCCCCAGTTCTTTTATATTTGTTTGTATGTTAAATGTGAACTAACCCTTCATCATTTCAGTCTGTGTATGGTTATTGCAAATATATTCATGATTTGATTGTATTGTGTCCTGAAAAAAAGGTCAGTAGATCTCATCTGATTATCTCTATACTGTACGACTTCAATACATCATTACAATTTAGTTTTTTTTGCTTCAATTTGTTACGGTATTATGTTCCTCACAGTCACAGGTAGCTTCTGTCCTGTGTGTAATAAATACTGTGAAGGTGATGACTTTGATTCTTAGTACATTCGGTTTTGATAATTCTTGTAATGTGGTTATATTCTTGACAGGTAACTACTGCCCAGTCTGTAAGAAGTGCTATGAAGACGATGACTTTGAGTCTAAGATGGTGCAATGTGCAGACTGTAATAGATGGGTCCATGCTAAGTGTGAGAACCTCTCAGGTAAGCCCTAGGCCCTTCTCATTGGGTGGTATTCTCATAAGTTAAGCCGGGACTAAGTCCAGACTAAACAAGAATTTTAGTTCACACTTCTATGAAATGCTAGGTTTCATCTTCCTCCTTCAATATTCATGACAAAGATAATCTACCAAAGACTTTGTTGAAATTCAGTTCATACTTGTATTATCTTTTTCTTCCCATTTCATTGCAAAATTAATTTTTTGGACACTTTTCATTGAAGGATTAAAATAATCTGTACAGGGTAAATAAGTTGGCGACAGGCACTCCATAAAAGTGTGGATTAACTTAGTACGCGCTAACTTAGTCCGCGCTACCGGAATACCACCCAATGATCTTATATCCTTCAAATAATGAATAATTCAAGTCTTTCAAAATTTAACAGATCAGCCCTGTAGAGCCAATATTTCTTAACTCTGAGGTTAAGAAGCACTGTGTTCTAAATACATCTGTTGATTAACTTCCTTTGTTTGGAAACATCCATTTCTAACAATCGTAACCTGTTTCTAACCCCTCCCATAGATGATCTGTACAACATTTTGACACAGCTACTGGACCCTATCCCCTTATGCTATCCTCCCCGTGCCATTCACATACCGTATGACTTCCTACAGCCCCCCCAAATATACCCCCAAAAAGATTGAGCCCCCATTAATTGATTACTGTTCCAAATGTAGCTGTTGGTAAAAATACCTGCCAACCCTTCCTAATTATTCATAATATTTTGATTTTCTGGATTCTTAGGACCTAAAATTTCAGAGTTTTCAGATTTCAAATTTTGTTGAAGCCAAATTTAGCTTGTTTTATCATGTGCCACGATTTGAGAGTTTGCGTGCGTTATGTGCATGCATTAAATGGCTGGAGAATCAAGCAGCGAATTTGTATTCCCTTTTTTTGTACTGATTATTGCGTATTGCCAGTTACACTGCCGCTGCATACATGGCCATGGTGAGGCCGTGTGAACGCCTCAGATCCCTGCTAGAAATTTCTAATTCTTATTTTCAAATGTTGGAATGTATGGGTTAACCTCTTGTCTAATGGCATATCACTGGCTTAGAATGTGTAATTGTATCTTTATCACCTCTTTCACAGAGGATCAGTACCACATCCTTACAGAGTTACCAGACTCTGTCCCCCCTCCCCCCCAAAAAAAGCAATAATATATAAAAGAAAAAAAATGAAGCCCCCATTTACTGATTACTGTTCCGAATGTAGCTGTTGGTCACTGGCGTTTCATTGGCTTCAAATTTGTGATTGTATGTTCGACATGTTTATCCCCTCTTTCACAGACGACCAGTACCGCATCCTGACAGAGTTGCCCGACTCGGTCCCTTACCGGTGCCCACCCTGCGCCAAAAACAAACCAACACCATGGAAGGGAGAGGTAGATGAAGAGCTCCAGGCTGGCTTCATGAATGTCCTCAATGCTCTCTACTCCTGCAAGAATGCCGGTCATCTCATCTGGCCAAACAGGAGGGTAAGTGCAGAGAGATAATGGGTGGTATTCTCATTAGTTAAGCCGGGACTAAGTCCAGTTTAAACAAGAATTTTAATTCACACTTCTATGAAATGCTAGGTTTCATCTTCCTCCTTTAATATTCATGAGAAAGATAATCTACTAAATACTTTGTTGAAATTCAGTTCATACTCATATCATCTTTTTCTCTGCTAGGCTACCGATTTGGATGCTCACAGCAATCAAGGAATTCCTTCCTATAGGTACCCATTTAACACCTGGGTGGAGAGTGGCAAATGTAGATAAATGTCTTGCCAAAGGACATAAGTGCCATGGTGGGACTCAAGTCGAGAACCTTGTGATCCACAGTCCAAAGACATATTCATTAGACCACAACACCTCTATGATGCCTACCATATAATTATGTTTGTTAACCCTTACTGTACTGGGGGGGGGCCTGGGAGGCCCCCCCCTCGACATTTTCGGAGATCGCGCCGCAACCGCTCGGAATTTCGAATTGCCGTTTCACGACTTTTTTCCCTCAAGTCTTACGCACATTTTGATACCATTTTCGTCGAAATCGGATATACCTGTAAGGTGTTACATAACAATTAGTATGCGCATGTCATCAAAAAAGTGCTATAATTGCATATATTCATGTACAAGCAGAAATGTGAAGATATTAATTGATATCAAATTGCTTTTATATGTTTCTCAAAGTAACTTGATGTATTTTAGAACAAAAGAATACATTAGAAATAAAACAATAGATATAATAACAAATAAAAAACAATGAAATACATAAGAAAATAAAAAGTTGAAAAATCGCGTCAAATTTGCATAAATTATCATTATTAATTACATCAAATAACTATTTTGTGTTAGAAAAGAAGTTTCATATGAATAATGAGTTTCAACATTACAAAAGTGGAGTCTGACAATTTTTGTAATGATTCTAGTTCCCTGTATATTTCCAGATTAGATATTCATGAATGCGTAATTTGCATATTCATAATTTATGCAAATTAACCTATGCATTTTCAAATATCATAAAAATAATGAAACCTCATGAATTTGAGATGAAGGAAACATTTATTCAATACATTTTCAAGATTCTTCACAAGTCTACTGACAAATATGTAGAGTTTTCTGTAAAATGCATAAAATTAGCATTTTGCATAATTAATTAGGCTATAACGACAAAAATTTGCATATTAGGAAAAAACTAATTATACCATCTTGTTCCTTACGTAAATATCTACAAACATGCAAATTTTCGCGTTCATCGGACATTCGACGACCGAGATCATAGGGGGGGGCCTCCCAGGCCCCCCCCCCAGTCAGAGAGTGCTCGAAATAGCCCAGTACAGTAAGGGTTAACCCTTACTGTACTGGGGGGGGGGGGGGGCCTGGGAGGCCCCCCCCCTCAACATTTTCGGAGATCGCACCACAACCGCTCAGAATTTCGAATTGTCGTTTCATGACTTTTTTCCCTCAAGTCTTACGCACATTTTGATACCATTTTCGTCGAAATCGGATATACCTGTAAGGTGTTACATAACAATTAGTATGCGCATGTCATCAAAAAAGTGCTATAATTGCATATATTCATGTACAAGCAGAAATGTGAAGATATGAATTGATATCAAATTGCTTTTATATGTTTCTCAAAGTAACTTGATGTATTTCAGAACAAAAGAATACATTAGAAATAAAACAATAGATATAATAACAAATGAAAAACAATGAAATACATAAGAAAATAAAAAACTGAAAATCGCATCAAATTTGCATAAATTATCATTATTAATTACATCAAATAACTATTTTGTGTTATAAAAAAAGAAGTTTCATATGAATAATGAGTTTCAACATTACAAAAGTGGATTCTGACAATTTCTGTAATGATTCTAGTTCCCTGTATATTTCCAGATTAGATATTCATGAATGCGTAATTTGCATATTCATAATTTATGCAAATTAACCTATGCATTTTCAAATATAAAAATAATGAAACCTCATGAATTTGAGATGAAGGAAACATTTATTCAATACATTTTCAAGATTCTTCACAAGTCTACTGACAAATATGTAGAGTTTTCTGTAAAATGCATAAAATTAGCATTTTGCATTATTAATTAGGCTATAACGACAAAAATTTGCATATTAGGAAAAAACTAATTATACCATCTTGTTCCTTACGTAAATATCTACAAACATGCAAATTTTCGCGTTCATCGGACATTCGACGACCGAGATCATAGGGGGGGGGGGGGCCTCCCAGGCCCCCCCCCCCCCCCCAGTCAGAGAGTGCTCGAAATAGCCCAGTACAGTAAGGGTTAATCGGAAAGCATCAGTATATTAGGCCTCCAACTTAGGGGATGTTGTGCAAAAAAGTATTTGCTTTAAGCATATATTAGCCTTTAACAGTGTACCTCTTGTGAGACTAATTCAAATTACCTAGTGTGGTCGACTCTGAATGTAAGTGCCAGGTGTCATGTGGATGAGAAATTCTTTCAAAAAGGGTGTACCAGCCCTGTAAAGATCCACTATTCAGTAGCTTTGTAAAAGACCATGATTGAGCTTTCATTCTTTCTTAGTAAAGTTAAAGTGCAGTTATGCAGAGATTGTACCAAACACAGATTTCCCAATAGTTGCTTGAAGTGAATTTTTACATTATCTTCTTTTACAGTTCAAGTACATGAGGAAAGTCCATAATGGCGATTCCAGCCGGTCATCCAACGGTCCTGAGTCTAGAGAGAGTTCATCATCTCCAGCTCTAAGCGAGGCCTCCTCTCTGGAGAGAGAAACACCAACACCAGACAGGGGCTTGGAGGCGGGCGGAGACGGACAGGATGACGTTGAGGAGACGTACTCCTTCAGGAGAGGAAGGACAGTGAGGAGAGTTCTGAGAAGAAGACGGCAGCAGAGGAACGCCGGTAATGCTGATGGAGCAGGGAAAGGAGACGAGGATGGTGGCATGAGGAGCAAAGATTCCGGAAGGGAGGATGTAGATGTTGAGGAGGTTGGTAGAACGTTAATAGACGGAGATGGATCAAGGAGTGACAATGCTGAAAGTGATGTTGTCATGGTGGATGGAGATGATGATGCAAGATCCTCTGGATTAATTCATCCTGTCTTTGACAGAGATGCAGAGAGAACAGATGGTGATGTTCAAAAGACATCATCAACAGAACCATTTGTTGCAGATGCTGATAAAACTGAATTAAATGTATCTGATGATGATAGAGTAATTGCAGTTGATGATGAGGAAGATGATGCATTGAGGACTAAGAAAGAGGAACAAAAACCAGAGGATGGACCCATTTCTTTCAGTACTACAGCCAAAGGGGACGTTGCGTCCTCCGTAGAATCAATACCAATAGACACATCTCAAGAGAACATCTCCTCTGAAAGTCATGTGCCAAAGGATGATAACAATGCAGAAAGGACTTCACATCGTGTTTCTATGTCTTCCGAGGATATTGCTATGACAAGTGCAGATGACTTGGAACCTCCTGTTGTGGAATCATCTCCTGCCCCTGTTGTAGAAGACCAGAAGCATGAATCGCAAATGGTAGTCGAAAGCAAAGACAGAACTGAAGTGGTTTCTAGTGAATCTAAATGTACAGACAACTCCAGTTTGGCTGACTCTCAAGGCGTTGATCACCAAGATGGTTCAGGAGGATCTCTTGGTGACTCGAAGATGGACACCTCAAATCTTGCTAGTGATGGTGAGACTTCAGCTGCCGAAGAAGTAGACATTGACATAAAGAGCACCGATGTCAAAGGGAAAAAGATGGAGGTGGACGATGTTGATGATAGCGGTAGAAGATCCTCCGTTGAGGAAAGAACTAGTAGGGATACCAATACACCTCTCCCAGAGGATGCCTCTGGAAGCCTTGTGGATACTGCAACGGTTGCTCCTGATGATGCGGCGTCTCCAAAGCTTGAGAAGGAAGAAGCAGAGACTGTCTCTGAGTCAGAGACCAAGGTCAGCATCGTTTCTCCTGAAGCTGTTCCAGACGTGGACCCTAACATTCCAGATGCAGTCTTGGAGGTTACGACATCAACGCAGCCTGAGCAGGATGCTTCTAAGACACCCGCCAAGGTAGTCACCATTGAGATAGGCAAGAAGGAAGAAGAGGAGAAGAAGGAGGAGGAAATCAAGCCAACAAGTTTCCAGTTTGTTAAAGCCAAGATGATGGCAGGCTACTACAAGTCAGTGGTATGTACATGAACAGTTTAATATTTTCTAATTTGTAGAAAGAACTATAACATTTTATCAAATGAAATATTAGTTTTGATAAAGGTGAGAGCCAACAGATCTTCGACCTTTGCCGTACATGTCAGATATCTTCATAGTGGAGGAAATTTAAACCACTAAACTGCATTGAACATTAAACTTTGTTATTTGCCGTCAAAGACATTAACATATGGTCTGGGGTCGTGACTTTGGTTCAAATTCACATATTGGAAGCATATGCGATCCTATTCCACTGATCATTGTCGCGGTCGAAATCGACTCTGAAGTTATGAAATTGTAAATAATAAACACTTTATGTTGTATAGCTCCCTCTCAAGGTCAAGATATTAATTTAGGTCTAAAACAATGTTTTTTGACTAAAATCGACCGATTGGCTATGCCCGTTCAGAAATTATATACATGTACCACTACTACATATTCTGAGATTTTCATGGTCGCAGCTACCATTGTATGCCCGTAGGAGCTATTTGAAATTTATCAAAATTTACCGGAGCACCGGTTAATCTTTATATTCAATTTTTCTTGAAAGCAGAAGTATTTCAGGGGCTAAAGATTCTAGTGTTTTTAATACATCCACAGGGGCATCCAAATATATCAAAATTGTAAAGAATCACTATCCACCCATTTTTCAAAATTTCCCAAAACTTTGTATTACCTTTAATAAAGATGCAGTTCATGGGGAGATCTTACAATAGAAAAGGGAATCATGCTGGCTTGAAATTAACTCTGTAATCTTGATCCATGTATATACCCTTCCATCCACCTACAGAAGTGTGAACGTATTATTACAAAGTAGGGATTAAAAGTAAAGACCAGTTTTTGAAAAGAAATGGAAGCTCTTTAGGGTAGCGCGCCCAGTATTCGGTCCATTCCCAGTATTCGGTCAGACAGCCGTTTCAACAGCTGTAACAATTTATAAAATAATTTAAGAGCCACGAAACTTGCACAAATCAGGCAGCTGAACAACTTTTCTTAACTCTCAAAATTAAATCAGATTTAGGGCCCCGGAAAGATCTCCAACTTAGCTCGAAATTGGTCAGTGTCGCACAACTTTCTGCACTTCCGCATTCTCTTAGCACATGCGCTAACATGCATAGCCATATGTAGAAGTCTATTGCGAAACAACTACGTGTGCTGTCGCAATGAATTTAGTATGTGTGTGAAGAGAATCACTTCCGTATTCACTCCATCGCAGTGAATTTGCAAATGACGAACTTGCGGATGTGCGAGAGCTATTTATACGATACCCTTGCCATGCGGTATCGCTCGGCCAGTATTCGGTCAACGCATTGACATTCAGTGCTTTATCGCGCAATTGTGTGAAAATAGTGCGCAAATACGCTTCGCTCCTTTGCAACGGAGATACCACGCACAAATCGTGTGACCGAATTCTAATCGGCGCGACCGAATTCTGGGCAGAAAAATGCTCCGTCTTCTTTCGGAAGTATTTTGCTTATCATTATTCTATATTTTAAGTGACTATAAAATCCTGTTAGAGGAATAAATTTCTTTTCTTTTGATTGGTAGATTGCCAAATAAAAGAGGTAAGAATTCAAAATATTTGTGATTTCCCCTTAAGTGACCGAATACTGGGCACTCTACCCTATACCAATCATGTGAAAGAATATGTTTTGACTATACGTGATGATACAAATTTTGACGGGAAACCGCCTACTAATTGATATATTTGGTAAATTATTTTATCTATCTGGACTGGATAAATATAGGGTAGTCCCATATACATATTTCTGTGCACAGTGCTTGTAACTTTACCAAGACTGGGCCAAATTTGTTATCATTTTGATGATTCCAGAACCTTGCATTACACACCAATACTTATATGCTAGATGATCGACCTTTTCTGATCGATTCCACAACATTTCTTTCACAATGCAATCGCATGACCAGAACTGGTCTAAACCTTTCATTCCTTTTCTTCCTTTTCCTCCTTTTCCTCTGTCCATAAACTTTGCAGGAGAAATTCACTAAGGATTGTGTGACCATCTTCCAAGCCTCTTTCAATCAAGAAACGAGCCTGATTCCTGGACTCTCCAAGTCCAACGTGATAGCCAAGGGTGCATTCTTCAAGATCATGATCCAAATGTTCCCGTGGTTCAACATTGAAGACACGCGGCTCTGGAACGGCGAGGAGAGGTTTGAGGAGTGAGTTTGCCGTGATCCTTTCCATTTCATTACTATCAGCCTTGCTTTAAAGCGGGACTGCAACACTTGTAGCTAATTGCGCCCTCTATATAGCCACCAATGCCTAAGTGGTACCCGTTGATCCTCCATGGTCTTCTTTTTCTGATGTTAATTGTGAGCTGATTTGATGAGATAATCACCTGCCAGTGAACACGCAGGGAGGTCTAATCCTCCTGGCGAAACTAGTGCAGATAGGCTTTAAAAACAAGTAGAATACCTTTAAATGGCTTCAAATAGCTTGGCTTACTGCTTTTTATCTTGTACCGATAAATGTTCATTTTGAATGTGATTAAGATGCTATGCTAAAAACTGATGGCAGGAGTGAGTTTTCGTAAATATAAACCTACTACTAGATAATTGAATACTACTACTACTTCTACTACTACTACTTCTTCTACTACTGCTACTACCAATACTTCTACTATTACTACTACTACCACAACTAATGCACCTAAATTGCACCATATATCTAGTATGTACATAATCCCATACATTATATTACCCTGGCTTAAGCACCACTGCCCATGTAAGATGCTACCCGGGCATTTTAGGAATCAATTCTATATTTGTACCTATTTGTTTACCTTGAGTTTAGTGTGATTCAAATTCAAAATTTGATTCAAACCCTTTACCCAGTGAAAGCTACATCACCCCCACAACTTATTCATTAGACCTTGGCATAGCACCTATTCAGAGGCAACAGTTCAGTTTATTTTTGTAGTCCACATTTCACACAAGATGAAAGTAATATTGCAAACATATGTTGATAAGAAATAGATACATTTAGTATAGAAAAATAGATTAGTTTGTTTGTAGATACTTCTATGTCAAGGGATATGTTAAAGGGATCCGGTAACTTTGTCTTAGATCCTTAAAAAAAATCCTTGATTTAACTCGTGCTGCAATGATAATTATAAACCTTTAGGTCAGTCAGAAACCCCATGACTTTTACAGGCCGATCGCCTGTCTGATTATCAAGATATTTATGATTGGAAATCAAAATCAAATTTTGCATTTGCCCTACAGTCTATTGGGGAAAAGGAGTATGGTAAAACCAGTCACTCAAAGGTTTTTAATTTTTTGAGGCCCTTCTTGATCATTTTGGATAGCAATTTTGTAGGGCTTCAATATATCACCATATCACAGACACGGATAACACGTACACGTGTAGGGCCATGCGTCTCAGATTTAACATTGTTAAATGATCCCTTTAAAGAAGGGTAATCAGGATATAAATGTGACATATTAAAGCTTACATCATCTAAAAGTATTCAACGAAGGTCCTAATTCAACGAGTCCACCTTTCATTCTCGAGTTGCGAGAAACACAAAAAACATAAAATTTACAAGGAGTATACATAATTTAGTTGTTAACTTTATTCTTAACGAAGTTGTGGATACCCAAAATGTACAAATATAGGTCGATGCTGTAACAATTTCATCTGATTTTCAGGAATGGTGTGCTACAGGTAGCAGTCGAGCCTCCTCACAAGGATCATGAATACGCTCAATGGAGATACAGAGCCTTGATGCCTGCAATCACTGCTCAACCTTCACCTTTCAAGAAGCTACCGACTCCTAGGAGAAGACATTCCATAATTGGTAAGTTAGTTAGGGGAAATTTATTGATCTAAAAGTTTTTCAATGTCAACACTGTGTTGACAAAACTTTAAAGGTAAAGACCAGTTTTGGAAACGCCCCAATTTCAAAAAAATGAAATGGAAGCTCTTATTACCAATCATGTGAAAGAATATGTATTGACTAATACATGATGATAAAAAATTGCCGGGAATCCGCCTACTAATATATTTGGTAAATTAGTTTATCTACATGGTCTGTGAGAGATAAACGCACGTGTCGTGTGCGTATAGTCCCATATACATCTTTCTGTGTACAGTGCTTGTAACTTTACGAAGACTGGGCCAAATTTCTTATCATTTTGATGATTCCAGAACCTTGCAGTACACACCAATACTTATATGCTAGATGATCAACCTTTTCTGATCGATTCCACAACGTTTCTTTCACAATGCAATCGCATGACCATAACTGGTCTTTACCTTTAATATGGTGGTGACAGGAAGAGGGGGTGATTAGTGACCTTCTCCGGCATGCTTTGTGAACTTATAACAGTTGTTGAAAAAGAACTAATGCCTTATATATATTTGTTTACCTTCTTCAGCATTCTAAAAAAACATTTATACCAAACCGTATTCCTTTCATATTTATAACCATAAGGCCTTAATAAAAAGAAGATTATGTGTTGCCCTTTAGGTGCCAAAACTAGGTCGGTCGGTCGGTCAAAATCTCTCCCTCTCTCTTTGGGCTGATATTTCTCAGTTTTTAATGCTTTAATAAATACTTTTTTATTCATTAAACATTTTCTTTCTGAAAAACAGTAAAAATAAACTTTTTTAAAAGCAGACCTTACATTACAAAATGTTTGGTTCGGTCGCAAAGGGCAATACAACATTTTTTTTTTAGGCCTAAGTGTAGTTCCTATGCACTTTTAGTAAGAGAGCAAGAGAGCAAGAGAACGGAGTAGTGCAAATATTTTTGATGGTGTATGGTGTTAGCTTACCGAGAAGAAATCTCCTGTCACTAAATCACAGCCTCTTCACACATGGGTAAAATTCATTGTATCTAAAGCTGTTTAGTTTAAAGCTCTTTAACTAAACAGCTTTAAATTAAATATTCCCTGTGTGAATGTCGATTATACGATGTTGATCTAAAGACAGGCCGGAGCAGGCCGCAGATATGAAGACCGTATCTAAGAGGCAAGACATGAGGCAAGACATTGGGCCGTATGCATTAAAAGTAGCAATTGCTTGCAAGCAATTGCTTAAATCCGTATGCATAACATTTTGCTTGAGCTCAAAGCTTTTGCTTGCCTCCAGCAAGCAATTGCTTACGATCTCAACAATAGCGACGTCACGCCGGTGCGAACATCATTCATGGGAGAACAAAGGCGGGTTTCGCATACTAGTAGTGTATTCAAATGTCATGCGTGTGGGGTAGCCTTTCCTGACATGACATCCTCCCCGTTTTTCATCATGTTCAGGTATGAACCTGTGTGCTAACCACTCAACGTTCTCTTTGTCGAAACGGAATAGTTTCCGATAGGTCCCGGGAGCAATTTCTTCTCGATTTATTCTACTCCTGTACAACTTTGGTTTTAACATGATGCTTAACCGCGAACGTCCCGATTAAGCAAGAGCTCAAGCTGCTATGACGGAGCTTGAAAAAACGTAAGCAATTGCTTATAAGAACAAGCAAAAGGTTCGTTTTATGCATACGTTTTTAAGCAATTGCTTGATCTTTAAGCAATTGCTTGCGGACATCAAGCAATTGCTTGTGCTTGCTAGCAAAAGCATTTGCTTGCAAGCAATTGCTTATGTTTATGCATACGGATTCAAGTAAAAGGCTAGCACAAGCAATTGCTACTTTTTATGTATACGGCCCATTTTGTGTGTGAACGGATACACGTCCTTACTGGGTGGCGCTATTTAGCATGCGTCGATCTGCCTGATAGTAAACACACAATGCGCAATGGCCCTACTGCGCATTTAAGAGCAGTGAATCTCGAAATGATCACAATGAAATTTTCTGTGTCTGAATGATAATGAGCTTTAAAGAATTTTCCCCCTGTGTGAAAGCGGGGAATATCACAAACAGTGTGAACATGACCAAGGAAGCATTGAGAACTGCCCTCAACGAATCCTCAATCTTTTACCATTCTGTATTTCTAGGTGGTAACCGGTGTTCTGAGGATGACTCTCATCTTACAGCTTTGGATGATGTCTCTGACCCTAGACGATGCTGCCTCTGTGGGGTGATGGGGGATGATGATCCAAACAATGCAGGACGTCTGCTCTACTGTGGACAGGTAAGGCATAATAATATTAGTCTGTCTTATATAGCAGGCCCTCTAAAAGGACTTTACAGATATATGATATTATTACCCCGGTCATCGGATTCAGGCTTACCCGCACACAATGTATGCACATTCTCCACTCCCTAGGGAGCATTCCAGCCAGGCGTCATTTTTACAAGCGCACACTTGCTAATCTAACCACATTAGCTTTCGCGTCCTACCGGGTACCCATTTACCACCTGGGTGGAGAGTGGCAAGTGTAGAGAGCTGCCAACCAGTACGATTTAATCGTATTTCGTACAATTTTTAGAAGTAAACACGACAGTACAATTTTTCCTCAATAAAAACGACTTTCCTACAAGCATCTCACATCAGCAATTTGGGATTGTTGATTGGTTCATTTTAACACACCAGTCATGACGAAATCATGCATATTCAACCAATGATCCATAAAAAAAATTATTTCTGTGTGTAGGAACTGTAAGAGGCATTGATTCGTGTTTTATTTTTTTAATACAATTTTGTCAGTTAAATTAAAGAGTACAGTTTTTGAACTCCAGATGTTGGAAGGTCTGGTAAGGAAGTGTTTCATCATCCCTTGGTGCCTTCGTTTGCACCAATTATCTATCCAATCCAAATGGAAGTATTTTTGATGTTGACGCTGTGTTTGCATAATGTTGTGGATAAAAGTGTATGGCTTTGTGGTAAATATTTACCAACTAACAATCTGTCTTATTTTTAAAAATCATTTTACCTTTCAATGTAATTTATGACGCTTCAAAGATGTGCAGTAGAAGTGATAGTAAGATCAAGAGGCTGACAGGATTGTCCTTGGAGAAGCGAAGTAGAACAGCTAAAGACTGAAAGTTATGAAAACCTGTTTCTCAAGATTCATCAAAGTGTCGTCGTAACAACCTCAAGTTTGAAGACATACCTATAAAAAGATGGCACAGTACCATGCGCAGTACCCATGCCTTGCGGTTTGCCAAAGTCTTTTTTAAGGAGATGGATCTATCCCACATTTAAAATTCTAATTTCTTTTGTTTGCTTTTCTGCATCCAGGATGAATGGATCCACATAAACTGTGCCTTATGGTCAGCTGAGGTGTTTGAAGAGGTCGATGGTTCTCTGATCAATGTCCATGCAGCCATCTCGAGAGGGAGAATGATGGTAGGAAACGTTGCTAATGCTTTATATCACACAATAATTGATTCCAAGTGTTAAATCTTTTCAATTTGCAAATTTTTGATACCATGACATACCTGCTAACCTTTCACAGCCTCAATTAGGAATCTCTCAAGGCAAAATTAGGAATACAGTCAATTTTGTATATTTTTACACAAAATTCAAAACAATAGATTGAAGGCCAAAAAATAGGAATCATTCCTCTAAATTAGGAATGGTTGGCAGCTATGCCATGATATAATAAATTCACAATACTAAATCTTTGCAAACCACAAAAGTTTCTTATTTAAAAAATTGCTGTTTCACTTGTAGGGATAAACATTTCTGCAAAAATTGTAGACTCAAATTGTAAAGCAGAATATAAATATGGTGTTTCCTGAGAAAGAAAATTAGAAAGTGCAAAAGAAAAGGAAAGATAATAAGGGGGGAAAATGATACATGCTCAAAGTCACTCAATTTACTAATTAAATAGAAAGCTCAAAGCCCCTCTAAAGTGTTGAGAGCCCCAAATTCGCCAACAATTTGTGGGCAAAATTTCACTTAAATTGTATCATAATGTGAAAGAGGATGTCATTTAAGACACACTTCTGCAAAGATCCCCCCCCAAAAAAAAAAAAAAAAAAAAAAAAAAATGTTTTTGAAGACAAATATTGATAAATGAATACATAATTTGGGTTATGTTTTACGCAGAAAACCTAGATTTTGTCATCAAATTTTTGGATCTCTCAACACTTGATAGGGGCTTCAAGAAAATTCTAGTTTGCTTCATTTTAGAAAGTAAAGAAATAAATAATCGGTACCATTGAACATGTTTCTAAATTTCATTTTGTTTTAATGCTTAATATATTTAATAATAATATAACATTCAGCTTTTATAGCGCTTAATACATCTCGGATGTCTCTAAGCGCTTTACAGATATACTATTACCCCGATCATTGGATTCAGTGCTTACCACTCCCTGGGAGCATTCCAGCCCGGCGTTAATTGATGCTCAAAAACTGTTTGACCAACAACAACGGTCGCATCGTACCGGGTACCCATTTTAACACCTGGGTGAAGACTCTCCACCCAGGTGTTAGAAGCAAATACGACAGTACGATTTCCTTTAATAAAATATGATTTAAAACAAAAATTAAAAAAAAACTATTTAAAAAAAAAAAAATTAAATTAATATTTTGTGTGTGCATTTGCCATTTTCAATGGCAAAATGTCCATTCTGTCCTGTAAAGTATCCTACAAGCATCTCACATCGGCAATTTGGGGATGTTCATTGGTTCATCGAACACACCAGTCATGACGAAATCATGCATATTCAACCAATGATCAATAACAAAAATTCTTCTGTAAGAGGCATTGATACGCGTAACAATCCGTGTTTATTTTCAAGAAGACAACTTTTGTCAGTAAAATACAACTTTTGGGATTAAAGAATACAGTTTTTGAACTCCGGAGGTTGGCAGGTCTGGGAGAGTAGCAAGTGTAGGTTAATATCTTGCCAAAGGATAATTACTGTTATAACTCATTGCCTTGTATTTTGCCTTGTGTTTCCTACAGAGGTGTGAAGTGTGTAATAACTTGGGTGCGACCGTTGGTTGCTGCAGCAGGGGCTGTCCAGCTAACTTCCACTTCATGTGCGCCCGCTCCAGGAACGCCATGTTCCAAGAAGACAAGAAGGTCTACTGCTTCCAGCATACAGACAAGGTCGACAAAGCTGTAAGTATCCATCAATGTGGGGAAGGATCTTCACTCCTGGGGGTGTTTCACAAAGATCCTAAGTCGCACTTAACTCTAAGTTGGACTTCAAAATTATGGAGAGCCATTTCTAGCATTAAAATAAAATATGTTCAAAGCAAAAATCCAAGTAATTTAGACTTTTCATGAATTCCACATCACGAGCATGAAATCTCCTTGATAATAGAAAATATGAGTGATTTGAATAAACATTTTATGCCTTTTAAAATAACTTTTACAAAATATTTTAAATGATGCTAACGGCTTTCCATAATTGTTAAGTCCAACTTAGGATCTTTGTGAAACACCCCCTCTCTGCACGGTCGGGCGCTCATATGACCCACATGCAATTTTGCACCAAACAAGAGGCACCAATTTACAGAAGGATTGCTTTGTGCAACACAAGGGCTTTGCGAAATTACCCATTTCCAGTCTTCATTAGCTCCAACAACCCTTTCAGCATGGGTATAGATTATTATTGCACTGGTAATGGTTGTATAACTTGAATCCTTTGATTTATCCCATAATAAATACAATGTGGCACAGGGAGATTATCTGTGTGGTATTCAATTCAATTCAATTCATTTATTTTTCCTCCTTCAGTCGTTCATATTTACAATGATGGTACATTTTAACATATTCGCATATTTATATATATATATATATATAGATCAATTTGCACAATACAATACATTAAAAAAATAAACATGAAATTGAAAGGGAAGGAGGGCCGACTAAAAAGCAGAGCAAAAAAACAAAAACAACAATAATAACAAGTGATTCATTAATACAAAAAAAATCACTTTTAAATGCAAAATATTGATACAGTATTGCTCGAAATAAAGTAGACACCGTACCGCCGTGTACCGCGCGGGAGCAAATTACCACGGTAATTTATTGAGTACCGCCACCCAACTGGTTACCGCGGTACTCCCACCTACCATAATGTCCCGCGGTAATGTACCACATTTGGGAGTCCGCAGTCTCGTAGAACACGAGATTCTTGTATGTTTAATCTATCCTCAAAACATAAATAAAAATGTGTGTGTTAATGTGAGTGAGAGATGTATGGGGATTTCAATTTTTTGATCTGTAATGAATGGAAATTGCCGATTGACTGACTTGATTCTACAAGTTCGCACGTACTGCACATGATGGTTGTTAGCCAACTAGGCATCGTTTGTAATTAGCTGAAAAAAATGTTCATTGATAATGAGAATAAACGAGTTTGGGTAAGATTTCACCATACCATCATTATTTCAGAACAATTGTTGAATATTTGAATAACGAAGAGCCTTTATTTCAAGAGGTAAAAGCAGCCACAAATACATTGAACATTATAATGGTCTGATAAACTTAAACTACCCCAGCGTGTAACCTGGTAACCAAACACAATGAAACAAAGGGATGAATGTAGGTCAATTCATTCATCGATACGCGAGGCACGCAAGTTTGATAACTACATAGGACATGAGTTATAAAGTATTCCCACATCGCTTTGCTCATTCTGGTTTGAAAATACAAACGACTTAACTAAGCATAATCACGTAGCTGCAATTTGTTTAGCTACAGATTGATCAATGATTGCATACTTACCTGATTCTATGACGTGTCCCACTTTTAAAATATCCATGTTTAACTATAAATCCGAAAATCAGATGAAAGTTATCCCAGGGACATCCATGGTTATCCGAAAGATTAATTCCCTTACACACGTTGTTGGAACCACCGATGGTATAAAAGCTAAGTCTAGTTTCGGACACAATAATTCCATTTTTAAAACCACTACAACAACGATTCGTACAATCTCGTTCTATCTCTAAATGGTGATTTTCAGATGAAAAGTTAACTCTTCTCATTGGCTAAATAATAATTTGCAACTTTATTTTTTAAAAGCAAATAATTATTTGCTCGTTTTCAGTTGTCATTTATGGTATGGCGTCTGAATTGGCAGACTATGCAAGCCCTTTCAGTTTCAGCTGGCTGGGGCGTGTCATATTTCTTAGATAAGAACTGTCAAAACATGTCTGGGAAATGTAATCACGTGCAGGAGGGAGAGAGAGATAGAGAGAGAGAGGGGGAGAGGGCAGAGAGGGAAGTAGAAAGACGGGGTTAGGTAGAGGTGTGGAGGACAGTGACCTCATGTCATTTACTTGTTAATCAATCAATGTTTGACGGTACTTGTAAACATCCATGAAGGGTGATGTCTTCAGATGACGAATCAAAGAATAAAGGATAAAAGGAAGGGAAATACATGTAGATATTAAAGATTAAATGATATCAGAGATAGGAAATATATGGAACGAAGAGGCGACTGTAAAGGAATAAAGTATACAAGGAAATAGATGGGAAGAATCAGAAACTGGATAAGAATAAAGGATTCGTGGGAGAGGAAATCTACATGGGAGGAAGAGGAGACTTGATATAAATAAAAGGGTTATAGGACGAACACCCCCGGCCAAGGCAATTATCCCCTCCCCCTCGGAAAATTACCCCCTTTGATTTTCAGCCCCCCCCCCCCGAAAAAAATGCAAATTATCATCAGGGTGGACTTCCCCTTCAATGAACGGGGGGGGGGGGGGGGGGGGCGTATATTTGTCCTTGGGGCATATTTGTCCTAGGGGAGCTAATTCTCCTCCGTGGATATTCGTTCCGGGGGGGGGGGATATTTGTCCTCGGATGTTAAAGCCCACGGGGGTTATCGTTCCTGGGGGGGGGGGGGTGGTTGTCCGAAGGTTCGTATTTCCGAAAAACGCAATAGGGTTCATAATCCGAAAATGAAATAGGGTCCATAATTCCGAAACTGGAAAAAGGTACCTAAAAAGAAACGAACGTTTAAATGAATTCAGGAGGCCGAGACGGCCTCCCCCCCCCCCCCCCATAAGACTTAAGAGATCCTAAATAACTGTAGAGAGAGACATAGACGGGGAGAAATAGTAGAAGACAACAAAAGATAATAGAAAAGTATAAAGGACAAATAAAAAAAGGAAAGGAAGGAATGAAGGAAGAGAGGAATATTAGAAAAGGAGGGATAAGAGCGCAATCGGTGATATAGAGTGAAAGATAGAAGGGGGTATCATTATTGATTGATTAATAAGGTGATAATTGGAGGTCCGAGGCCATCTCACCGATTTCGTAATATTTTCTGATTGTTTGTTGCTATTTATTTGGTATTTGTTATTGGCTCCCCTCCACCCTCTTTCTTGTATTCATGGGATTAACCGTCTCCCGTTATTATGGGAACAAAATGTACATCATATTTACCCCCCCCCCCTCCCGCTGGATCTAGTGTTTACAAATAAACTTGATTAATTTTAAAACAAACAAAACGGAACAGGTCAATATATTTCACGAGTTGTATAAACAAAAATAGTTACAATAGAGGATCTCCTTCCCCCTTTCTTTCTTCTTCCTCTCTTCTTTATTTCCCTTATTCTCATTCTCTCTTTCTCTTTTATTTTGGCGGGGAGGGGAGGGGGCCAAGCACGCTCCTTCCCCTGGATCCGTGCCTGTATTTCAGGCTTTTCTTGAGCGTTTTTAAATAAACCACGTCCGCCTTCTAATGTCAGCTAGTGCTTTGAATCTTGCCTAAACATTGAAAATGGATAATTTTGTTAATATTTTCTCTTCATGTGTAGCCCGATAACCCAGGCAATACCTCATTTGCACTCAGCCATTAGAAAGAGAAGACGATAGAAATAAAGCAACATAACATATGGAAAGAATTATCTTGCGGCCGCCAAATAATCTAGCTATATTTCCTCACGTTATGATGCAGATAGAAAGAGACATAAAACAAAGAATAACATGAGAGATAGAAAGAGAAGATAGAAAGATAGAAACAAAGAATAATAACAGGAAAGAACAGAAGATAGAAAGGAAAACAAAGAATTTCAAAATGAAAATAGAAAGAGGAAATGATAGAAGTATAAAAGCAAAGAGTAACATACAGAAAATAGAAAGAGAAGAAGGTGGTAGGATAAAAACAAAGAATACCATAAGGAAAGGTTGAAAGTGAAGAAGATAGAAGGAAAATAACATAATCATGATAAGGAAAGATAGAATTATCTGGCGGCCGCCAGACAATTATGACTTGGTTCGTAAGTATATGTAAATTGTATTGGAATGGGAACAATACAGTTCAGTTCATCTGAAGAGAGAGAGAGAGAGAGAACCCCTTACACATCAAAATGTGAGCTGAGCCTGAAAGAAACCGGACTTCAAGAAATCTTTTATGAACAAATTCTAAAGGTCCCCTTATTTCAAAGAGCCCGATGACGAGGGCGCTGGCTGGGAGATTAGAGAAACAATACACCTTTTATGAACCAATTCTAAAGGTCCCCTTAATGGTATTTAATGGCATTAACCGATTAAATACTGATTGCATATAGTGCTCGATAAAATCTTGGGTTTGGGCACATTTTCTGATGCAAGTTTCACGTCAATTATAGGACAGGAAGCAATGTGTTTGGACGTGTCGTATGTTTATCATGACGCCGAGAAAATATCGATTGGGAAATTGAGAGAAAACGTCATGTACATCGTTGATTTATCCTTTGTGTTACGATGTAAATCCTACTAACATCGTTTGCCATTATGGATTATTTCGGATATGAGAGGTGGTGAAAAGAGTAGAAGAAAGATTGGGAAAGAATGAAGTAAACATTTTGCATGAAAAAGCGGGTGAAATAGATGATCAAAATTAGAGGAAGAAAGAGGATGCAAGAGAGAGATGGAGGCTGTTGAAAGATCAGAGGACTGAGTAAATGATACGTTAAGGTAGAATGAGAGAGGATATATGAGAATTGGTGAAAATAGTAAAGCAAGCAGTGGCGGATCCAGGGTTTTCCAATTGAATGAGAGAGGATATATGAGAGATGATGAAAATAGTAAAGCAAGCAGTGGCGGATCCAGGGTTTTCCAATTGAGGTGGGGGGGGGGGGGGGGGGGGCGAATATTTAAACATTTTGTTCTTGTTGCTCGAGGGGGGGGGGGGTAGTGTGAGCACTACAACTATAATCATGTTTTTACTCAACAGCCCCTCCCTCCCCCCTTCTTGAGAAAAAAGTAACTTTGTGGTTACCATCTTATTTTAAAACTTGTTTGGGCAGGGGTGGGGGCCGTCAGTGTTTTTTGCCAGGGAGGAAAGGCCCCCGTTGCCCCCCCCCCCACCCCTATATTGTAAAATCCTGAATCCGCCAATGCTTCCTAAATTTTGTTAATTTCCAATCTAAATGGTCCGTACGCTCTAATAATTGAACAATGATGTTCTCATGCCACGTGGCATTACTCTGTATCGTTATCCAGTCACAACAAACGGCTTGTAAAATAATGACATATTTATTACATTCCCGCCATGTCCCGAGTCGGCGCTCTCGGAACAAAGGTGCGTAACACTTCGCGGCGTTTTACTTTTAGAACTTTGGTGTTGATTGACATGACACCACATTTAAGATACGCAATCGGCATATACAGTGCCTCCCAGGAAGAAAAAAAAACGAAACCGACAATTGTCAATGTTTTATCATAACTTAATCACAATTATAAGAGGAGAATGGGTATGAATAAAGGACACTATAGAGAGAGGAAAAAGATGGATAGAAGAAGAGACTGGATAAAGGATACTAAATAGAAGGAAATAGATGGAGAGAAGAAGAGACTGGGTAAGAATAAAGGATACTAAAGAGAGAGGAAATACATGGAGAGAAGAAGAGACTGGGTAGGAATAAAGGATACTAGAGAGAAGGAAATAGATCGGGATGAGAAGAGACTGGGTAGGAATAAATGATACTATAGAGAGGGGAAATAGATGGGGAGAAGAGGAGACCCGGGGAAGAATAACTAGAGAGAGGAAATAGATGGGGAGAAGAGGAGACTCGTTAAGAATAAAAGATACTAGAGGAAATAGATGGGGAGAAGAGGAGACTCGTTCAGAGTAAAGGATAATAGAGAGAGGAAGTAGATGGGGGAAGAGGAGACATTGACGTTGTTATTTTTATGCTTCTACTTCTTTCTCTTGTTTCTCACACCGCATCTTATTTTTAGTATGTTTGAATATTTACACACATTCGTTCTCATGATTTACCCTTGACTTCACTTGGAAATCGATAAAAAAAACCTACGATTTCAGCTCTGCATAGCAGTTTTTTCAGCATGTCCGTACTCATCAATATTCATGAGCGCATAATCACGCACGCTGTTATGTTGGCAAGGCTCCAAGAAGTCATGTCATATCGTGGGAACCAAAACTTTCTCCCTGCCTGGGTACGTAGAGACCGTACATTGCGTAACATACACTTTCTCTGTCATCAAGTCACACAGAAGAGATTGAGATAAGAGTCGAGTTGTTAAATGATTTAATTATGTCAAGAAGATAAGAGATAAATTTGTTTCTCTGGGGACTTGCTGGTTGAAGACTGGTGGAATGTGACATGGGCCACGGGGTGGATCCAGGATTTTCCAATAGATGAGGTTGAAATATGAAAATCGCGCCGATCGATATTTCGGGGGAGGGGGGAGGGGGATGAGCACTAATTTTTGTTCTTTCTTTTTGGGGGGTAGTGAGCCTTATTTTAGGAGAGTTCGTTGTGCTTTGGCATGCGAAGAAATTGAAGTGGCTTATCGGCAATCTTTACAAATCAATATATATTTCTTTTTAAAGAAACATGATTTTCAATGCAAACTCATGGACAGTGCTATCAAGAAATGACAAAGGCCGTTTGAGACCATGAAAGATAGAGCATTTCGGAGTGCGATCATGTTATGACCTACGGACGGTTATGCTTCTCCAACTCCAACATTAGTAACTGAGCTGATCGAGGCGATTGGAGACGCCGCCCGCCGGCGAGCATCAACTGGTCAGCTAATTTTTATAAGCCCACGTTTTCGCGCGGCGCGATCACAACCTTAGCCGTCGACAGAAATATAAGGAATGAAAGCATTTCTCCCGGCGTCATTCATCGTTTACATGTAAGTGATTAAACAATTATGGTAAAGCGACGTGCGAATCCTTTCCGTTTGATACATGACAAAGGGAGTGACGTACGTGATGGTTCATTACGAGATTTTCTTGAAAATCTCGTGGTACATTTTCGTGGTAATTACCGCCATTTGTGTACCGCACAGGGAAGAGTTACCGCGGGAGTACCGCGGGACTCAATCTTGGATTGATTCCCGCGAGACCCGGCGGTAATCTGTCTACTTTATTTCGAGCAATACTGTAAATACATGTTTATAAAAAGAAACAATCAAAGTTGCATAAAGTCATACTACAAATTATATTTGATTGGGGAATGCAATAGCCTAGTAACTATTCAGAAGAAAGCTTTTAAGTCTCCTTTTGAAAATTTCTATCGAATTACACTGTATAATATCATTTGAAAGAGAATTCCACAGTTTTGGACCTGTAAAAACAAATGTCTTTTAAAATGTTAATACCTATTTATATTCTCTTATGAAATGTTGATAATCCCAAGGAAACCATGTGTCTTCTTCATTGAAGAACCTTATAAAAAGTGACAGGAATTGCATCCACTGTGAACATTATGCGCTGTAGCATGGCTCACATACGGGTATGATACCCAGTTATATAATATTACATGCTCTGCAGTTCTGTATTACATGGTGTATGAACCCACATATGCAGAATTTCCCAAGAGATGTAAAAGTGAGTGCAGGGATGCCAGTTTTAAGCCAAAAACCTGAATTCAGGTCCTAACAAATTTATTTCAAGCCAGATTTCAGGCTTGTTTGTGTACAAAGTAGATAGTTAACGGTATTAGTGATATTCAGGCCCACTTTCAAATCCCAACTGGCAACCCTGTGAATGGTTATTTACAATTCAAACTTTCAGTCTCACTGTGTAGTAGCCTTTATATTGACATGACAAGACTTGGTATAATGTAAAAGATAAAGATTGATATACACTGTAGAAAGATGAATAAAAATATGTTTAAATGTGTTGACCGGTGTGTTGGCTCAGTCAGTAGAGCATACGCCTCACAACCAGGAGGTCGTGGGTTCGAACCCCGGCCGCGTCATACCAAAAGACGTTAAAAGACGGAAGTTGCTGCTACCTTGTTTGGCGTTCAACAATAAGGGATAGAGCAACGTCGATCTGGCTCAGTGGCTGCCGGGCTCACAATCAATTGGTCAAAAAGAATTTCCATTTTCGGTTTAACTTAATCATATTTGGAGTGTACTTTAAAAGATTATTATTATTATTATTATTATTATTATCTGTTATTTTATTTCTCACTAGATCATGGGTTCTGACCTGTTCGGTGTCCTTCGGCGCGTGTGTGTCAGTCTGGACAACATGAAACCAAACAGGACATTCTCCCAGGGCCTGGAAGCTAAGAACATCAATGTGATGATTGGTTCCTGGTCTCTAGAGTCTCTAGGCCACTTAGGGTTCCTCTCGGACACTGAGAATGGAATCTTCCCTTTGGATTTCGCGTAAGTATTGATAGTTCTCCTCGACCTTGCTTGGTGACCATCTTTGTTTAGATTTGACAGTCGATCACTTTTGGGTGATGGAGACATTTTCCAAATTCTATCGAGAGAAAGAATCACCTGAGTAATACTACAGCATTTATTATTCGCCATTGATCTAGTAAACTATTCTGAGGTGCAGAGGGAGATTATTACCCTGGCTTTAGCACGGCTACCATTACAGCGCTCTAGCATTTCAAGGAATTAATTTCTGCCAGGTACCCATTTACGTCATCTGAGTGGCAAATGTAGATCAGTAGATTAACATTAGCCTTCTGGTTCTCAGCAGAAGATTTGGTTCTTGGTCTTTAGAGGGTCTAGGCCACATAGGAGTCCTCTCTGGCACTGAGGAAGGCCCGATTCCCTTGGATCTTGACTAAATATTGATATTTTTTCTTGCTGGGTAACCCCTCTACATTTTATAGTCAAACTATCAATGATATAACAATTGTTTTCATATGTATGATCTGAGGATGGTACTACATGGAAAATATTTGATGACATAAAGCTGTCAATAATTTTAGTTCATTTCATTGTCATGTAACGGCACAGTGTTGGCTAATGGAAATACTGACCAGTTCAGAGATGAATGATCCATTGATGTAAAAGAAGCGATTGCTTTGTCATTTATGAGAAAGGAAAGATATCATCTAGTCTGAATTTGTTCATTTCCCATTTATTAAGAACATCTCTTGTGTACAAATTGTAGACTTTACGTCATGTTGTTTCCCTTAAAAAAGGAAAATGTGCTATTCAATTATGCTAAGTGTTCATTTATTTTATCTTAACAGATGTTCACGGGTGTACTGGAGTACCGTGGATCCTTGCAGGCGTTGCATCTACACCATGCGCATCATAGAGGTCAATCCTTTGACCTCACCTACGCTCCCTCAGGAAATCAACCACACCACCGAGCACAGCCCAGGCAGCTATCCTTTCAGCAGGAAACCGACCGTCCAGGATGATGACGATACCGATATCCTCGCAGATGCTCTCATGGAGGCTACCAAGGAGAGTAACGAGGCTGCGATGGCTCTCGATCAGGTAGCGGCCCTCCTGGCAGGGTCGCAGACAGTCAGCGAGATCCAGAATGCTGCGGATATCCTGGCTGCGACGTCATCACTGTTTGAGATGGATGATGGTGTCCTGGACTCCTTGAACCTTGATGCTAATCTGAATCCTTGTCTGGATGGTGACGGTATTATGGACATGATGGCTGATCTGGACAACCTTGATGGCCTGAACTCTGATGCTGCTCTTGGCGATTTCTCTGAGAGTGGCGAGAAGTTCTTACAATCTGATAAACCTGTCTCTCTGCCTTCAGCCAATCCTACAAATTTGGACACGGATGATATTGTTTCAGCTGTGTCAAAAGAAGTGCAGGAAGAAACCAGTACTCCTCAGACAGATTCTGCAGTAACTTTGTTTATGGATGATAGTGTCAAGGAAATGGAAGAAAAACCAGATAGTCCTGCTGGTATGATGGAAACAGAGGAAAAACATGCAAAAGTTGCGGTCAATGATGAAGCAGAAATTGAAACAGACATTGCTGAATGTTCATCCAACATCAGACCAGATTCCCCCTTGACAAGCCCTAAAAAGGGGCCATATGTGAAGTTGGTGGACATCAAAGACAAGCAGTTGGCCTCTGTAGTGACATCAGATTCAGCAGAAGCTTCTGACGTGGCAGATGCATCCGACACCTCCATGCCTCTTCATGATGACCCTGAAGTAACACAACCAGATTCTCCCTTGATTAGCCCAAAGAAGGTGCCCATGTTGAAATTGGTGAAGCTGGCCTTGGACCAACATGAAAAGTCTTATCCAGAGTCTGAGGATGACTCCTCTGAGGCAGCCTCAGACACACATAGGAACACAACACCACATTCTGGCTGTAGAGAGTTTTTGGACAATCCTCAGACTTCTTGTATGCTTTCAACAAATGTATCTCCTTTGCCCAATCAGCCAGATATTGAGTCTGCAATGAGCCAGCCTTTATCACTCCCCTCAGTCTCTATCAGTCCAAGTGAGAAAGAGTCTTCTCCAAGGTTGCCATCAAAGGATAAAAGTTCTGAGGTCACGGCTACATGTGAGGCAGACGATGATTCAGAGCTCTCCGCCAGATCCAGAGAAGAAAAGGGTACTGATCTTGCCAGCCGTGATTTTGAAGTCACCAAGGGTCTTACAGCTGAAATCAAAGAAGCTGAAACTGTGGGAGCTGATGGACCTATAGAACAAATAGAGCAGAATTCCAGCACTGAACGACTTAGGATGGAAACTGATTCCACTCCAATCATTGTACCTGTGTCACCAAATGAAAAACCTTGCAAAGTGACACCCTCGAAAATGTCTGTTGGTGCCAATGCAGAAACAAGAGAAGTCACCCCTTCAAATGAACAAATTACATTAGAACCTGAGATTCAGAATGACCTTTGTCTAAATAATGAGGCTGTAGAGCTCATAGAAGGAAAATCTAGTGATACTGCAGCCCCAGGATACCCTGAGGAACAAGAGCATTTGGGAATGGAAATTGCACCTCAAGGGCAAATTAAATCAGATGAGGAAGTGGGTAATGTTGTAACCAGTTTTGAGGTGGACATAGTCGCACCTCCAGAAGGTAAAACAAGAGAAGATGACACTCTTGTAATTTCTGACTGCTCAGCAGCAACTACTCTAGCAGAACCTGAAGAACCAAGGGATGGTGGCACAGGTTGCCTAGATGGAGCTGAAGACCAAGCAGATGGACATGGGTTACAGGTTGATTTTCCTTCTGAATCTCATGATGCTATAGTCGGGACTGAAGAGACAAGTATGATGAAAATACCTACAGGAGATGCTGCACAATCAGTATCGATGGCTTCCTACCAAAATACAAAGACAGCAGAGTCATTTGAAGAACCAAATGTGCAACAGTTCAAGCCACAGTTTCCACTTCATGAAAGCCAATGCCCACCTATAGATGAACAGCATCAGGTTCAGAGTCCTATCAGAGGAGAAGATGACGATAACAGCAATGAGGAAGCAAACGTGGGAAAAGTGTCAGAGGAAGAACAGCAGCGATGCATAGTAATACACAGTGTAGATGATTCACCAACCTCTTCTCCAGGAGAACTTGGCACTTCTGATTCATTAAGCGGCACCCTCAGTAATCGGGCAGAAAACCTTACTCATAGTCCAAATGAAAGTACTGCTGTACAAGATTTACCAACTCAATCTCCTGTAGATCTTGATATTGATGTGATGGCAGTGTCTACTGACTCTTTGAGCAGCACGGATGTTCCCAAGCAATTCAAGAGTCTCGGGTCACAAGATGCATCTCAGCCAAGTTCACCAGATATTCCTGGCTCAGACCAAGAAGAAAATACAACCAAAGAATCTTTAACAGACAGTACTAGCAATGTTGTGACAGTTCTCGATGATGAAAGTTTGTCAAATCCTGATGATATCTGTCATGAAATACAAGATGTGAGCAGTGATGATGAGGTAGAAACTGTACAATTATTAGGAAAACGTGACCCAGATGTCGTTGCAATTCTAGACACCAAGGATGATAAATCTGCTTTACCACTAGACGTACCAGCTGATACTCCCCAAGACTCTCCAGAAGACATGGAAAAAGAGCCCCAGATAGACAAGAGTGCTACTGATGTTACCATCCTATCAACAGTTGAAAACGACTCAAATATAATAGAAATCAGTGAGCCATGTAGTGAGACAGCTTCAGTTGGCAGTCTTAAAAGTTGTCTTACATCAACTGTAAGTGAAGAAAATCATTTGCCTGAGGCACCTGCAGAACAGAATAATGAAGTTCCGGGGAAAAGGCCATCTATCAACAAAGAAAGCACTAATGAGCCTATCGCTACTGGTTGTGCAGCAGAACGTTCATTTGATGGTGACATTAGCACAGCGGCTCCTGATCATGTTGAGCATGGTGCAAGATACTTAGAAGACAGTACTCCAGACAAGACAGGAGGACCACACGATGCAGGTGATTGGTCAGTAACTCCAGTTGATGCTCAATTAGAATCATCTGCGCCATTTCCTGAAACCAAAGAAATCAACATTGTGAATGAAGAGCGAAGCGTACTTGAAAAGCAAGAGCAAACAAGGAACTATGATGTTGAAGACAAAGTTGAAGCCGAAGAAGTCAGTCCAGAATTTGAGAGATTAACAGAAGAACTAAGAGTGCAAGGAGTTGGGGAGGAAGATATCCTGAGCATCGTTGTGTCCCAAAAACATCAATCTCCTCAGGAAGTTTCAGAAAATGCCAATCCAGTGATATTTGCCAAGGATGCCCCTCCAAGACGCCTCAGCTCAGACCCAGAGCACGAGTCAATCTTCAAGGCACTTGCTACATCACTATCAAGTTCAGTGACAAGGAAAAACAACAATAATCGGGAGAGTCTTCGAAGACAGGAAAGAGAACCCATTTTGTCTGCATTTGCTTCTGATCTTAATTCAAGACATCACAAGCATACACTAGAAGATGAAGAAGAGCCAGAGAAAGTTGAAAAGATTGGGTCTCCTACCACATCTAGAAACATATTTAAGAAACTTGACAACCCAAAATTTGCCAATGCTTTCAAGGCATTCATGGAAACAAAACAGGACTCCGCCAGAAATGTAGTGGATGAATTGATAGATGGAGACTTAGTGAGGGAAGAGAAGAACGCTGGAGACATAAAGAGGAGGAAAAGCAGCAGGCTTTCAAGTGCTGATTCGACTTCTGCAGACAAATTTCACAGTGTGTTACAGAATGGAGATGACTCGCATATAGCAAGTTCCTTCACGAACTCTGACCAGACCAAACGGAAAACACGTCACAGTTCATCAGATGTCCTGGAGAGTGATGATTCATCTTCAAAACTAGATGTCTTGGATGTTGGTCACAGAGGAAGGAAGAAGTACCCCATGCGAACTACTTCATCTAGATTGCTGAGGATTGCTGACAGTGGGGATCCGGACAACCAGGTGTTTTCAGGAGAAGAGGATGTGGAGAGAAGTGATGCTTGCCATGATCAACAAACACCGGAGGGACAAGAAGATGATATAACTTCATTGACAAGGAAGTCTAGTGATACTTCCCATGATGGTAGAAGAAGACTTTCCTCTGATGACAGTCTCAAAAGTCCAAGATCATTCTCACGAAAAAAGTCCCATCATGCCAGTCAGCACGATGAGTTTGACGGTGACCAGGAGGAGAAGGAAAATGAGGCTGTCAAAGGGAGAAGAGGTCGACCAAGAAAATCCTTAGATATCATATGGAGTCCAGAAAAGGAATGTGGAACACTGAATCATATTGAGGCTGAAGAGCTTGAAGGGAGACCAATGAGAACCAGAGGCCTGTCCAGGAAGTCAAGTTCAAGAATGAAGGAAATCATAGCGGCAGAGCTTGAGGATGAGGACGATGGAGATACAGAGGAAATTGTACAAAAGAAGGGAAGAGGAAGAGGAAGAGGAAGGCCCAGAAAGTATCCTGTAGCAGACCAAATCCAGGTTGGTCATATCAGTGCAAGGGAAGGTGAAAAGCCAAGGGGTAGAGGGAGACCAAGGAAGTATCCATCTGTCAATGAAGTTTCTAGGGACCAAATTGAAGCCAGGAAACGGGGTAGAGATAGCGCTTGTGCTGATTTTGAAGTCCTTGAAAAGGGACAACAGGAAGAAGAGGGCATGCCTAAAAGGAAACGAGGTCGACCAAGGCTCTCGGATAAGCAACCAGAAAAGGATCAATTTGTTGACAGTGAGAATGAAAATGCTGGTGATGATAGCAAGAAGAGAATGAGAGGTGAATTAACGAGCACTTCTGATGAGGAGCATCATGGCCCTGAGCAGGATCAACCAAGACTGCGGACAAGAAGCTCAGCAAAAAGATTAAAACCTGGAGAGGAGCCAGTAGAGGATGGAGAGGAAACGTTGGACAGTAAACCAAGTGTTAGCTCCCGAAGTGAAGAGAGACAAGTCCATCCACGGAAACAGTCTGTCGTTGCACGTAGTTTCCCAGGAGAAGATGCTCAGTCAGGAACACAGAGTCCTTCTAAGAAGGGACTGTTGGCAGACAGCAGAGACTCATCCAAGCAAACCAATATGTTGCCAAACAATGATGTAGTAATGCATGGTGAGGCTGCAATAACTCCAAAGCTGAATCAGATGAAGCAAGTACAGGAAACGCCAGACACCTCCAGTGAGACCCCAATGGCAGAGTCATCCTCTTCGGAGAAACAGGTGAGAGTCACTGTGAAGATAGATCCAGTGACTGGTGCCATTTCTGAAGCCTTTACCTACACAGATGATGAGTCAATGGAAGTTGACATGGGATTGAATGATGATCCACCACCACCACAGGCTCTTTCTGTTGAAGCTAACCCAACACAGCCTGCATTGCCTTCCCAGACGCCATGGAATATTTTGGGCAAATCCACACAAGGGGCATCTGACCTGAATAGCAGTAACCAGCTAAAGGGTCGTAACATCTACCACGTGCAGTCCAACATTGGAAGCAAGAAGGTGATCATTGGCAAAGATGTCACTACAAATCAAGTCATTTATTCCAACGGGCCGACAAGTGTTAGGAATCCTACTGGGGGACCAAGGATTCGGGGGCCTAGTATGATCCGGTATCCAGGATTGCTCCCTAATAATACCAGGCAAGCAAGGACCAGAGGACCTTTCTCCAGAAATAGTTCAGTTGTATGGCAGGGAAATACCGCCGCCTTGAAACCTGGTGTCAATGCCAAGATTCTTAAAACTCCAGTTGCTACACAACAAGCTATTACTAGTATACAAGGCACAATCCCTCAGAAGATGCAAGTTGGTGTATCAAGTGTAGCTGCACAGTCTATTGCTCTGACAGGACAACCAATATCCAACCTACTCCCAAACACCGTTCCTGGCATACTTTCATCTCAGGGAATGTCTTCCGCCATGAACCTTCCACAGGGTTTCCAATCCTTGCCCCAGGCTGCTCTAGTAGCTACTTCCATTGTCACTACTGTCGGTTCTCCTGATGTTCTGTCCGTCGTCACCACCACGGCCAATACCAATACTTTGACGAGCTCCGCTCAAGAACAGTATCTATCTATCCTTCAGAGGTCATACCAGGTGTCTCAAATCCAGCAGGTCAACGCTTTAGCAGGAATCATGCCGCAGACTTACCCTCAGCCCGGTCTTCTCCAAAACTTTGGCGTTCCGCAGATAGGTGTTGCCAGTCCAGAGGTCGCACCGTTCATCAATCAGACGTATCCTACCCTCATGGCATCGTCAACCCTCCAAACCCTGCAGACCCTCATTCAGCAGGCTGGAGTCCAATCATCCATGGGGCAGGTGACACCAGGTGTACAGCCACTCACACCAAGCCCTACACCTGTAATTCCAGTAAACCCCCTCTTACCAACCACCCCAATGGACACCTCCCTCTCTGGCTTTATATCTTCACTTTCCCCACCTTTTCAGCAACAGCCTGGCATTGTTCCGCTCACTAGTTACACTGATGCAATGTCTCCGTTCCACAGAGAACACATGTACGCAAGGCAGAAGTCTGGTGGATCTAACAAGAGGCGCAAGTCCCCTCACCAAGTCAAGGTCTGGTTTGACTCCTACGGCAGTTTGAAGAACGAAGATGATGAGAACCAGGAGGAGACTTCCAACGAGGTCCCTAGTCCTTCTCCCGTCAAGACACCGGTAGTCAGAATGAAGAATCCGTCCAACGTGCCGAGAGCTCGTGTCAAGAACCCTACCTTTGGCATGGAGGAGACCCGAAGCAACAAGTCTTTGATCAAAGTGAGCAAGAAGAAAGTCAAAGGTTCTGATGGTTCATCTAGTTGGAATTCCAATGCCAGTTTTGATCCATTCGCTGGTGAGTAACTGCTAATTTCACTTTTCATTACACCTGGCTATAACAAGTATTTGTACAATTAACTCTCATTGTAGAGAACATGGTTAAATACTAAGTAATTTACAAGGTCTAAAATGATTTTTCTTACTTCTCTTAGAATATAATTTAAAAAGACAAACGAGTACAAAGATAATTTGAGAAGGATAAGCAGTTGTACCAAGATCAGAAATTTTTGCTCCATATCTGAAATGTGTGGTATAGTCTCAATGTTTATGTTGTTGTATGTAATGTAATATGGGATGAACAAATTGAACCTGAAATGTTCAATAAATCAAATAATATCTGGTTATTTGGAGAGAAAAAATTCACTCCCTTCATTTTATTCAAAATTATATGTCAATTTTAGATAGCTCTCAAAATTTATCCTATTTACTAAGTTTATTTGTTGGTAATTTTTTTTCATTAGCAAAATTTATGTTTTCATTAAATATCTCTCTAGGCCTGTCAACAGACGATGCATTCTTTGCTGCCATGCCAAACCTGGGTCAGTCTGATCACCATGACGACAGTCCCTCCCTGCTGCTCACCCTGATGGAGCAGGAGAAGAAGCGTGGCCCAAGCACCACGCCCCGTAGGCCGTCCAACCGACCCCATCTCATGTTTGAGATCAGGAGTGATGATGGGTTTGAGACGAGGGCAGAGACGGTTGAGGAGGCGTGGGGGCGGGTCGTAGAGAGGGCTGGGGAGCTCCGCACCAACACCAGGAGAAAGCATTTGTCTTTCGATGGTAAGTAAACTTTAAAACATCAAAGAAAGCTGTAATATCCTCATTTGGGCATATTTCAATGATACACCTGTACAGAGGCGCGATAGCTCAGTCGGTAGAGCAGTGGTCTCATGATCCGGTGACCAAGGTTCGAAACCAAGTCGATGCGCTAGTGCCCTTTGGTAAGGCATTAATCCTTATTACCTGGTCCCTCGGAGAGGACCTAAAGCCATCGGCCGTCGCTTACTTATAAGCATTTATGCTTTCTTAGCAGTCAGGTAAAAAATAACAACCACCACCACATACCTGTAACTTTAAAGTTCAATGTTGAGTTCTGGGAAGAGGTGAAAAATAATTTGTGAGCGTTATCATTGCTATTTTGCAAGTGTGGAAGAACATCAGATAAAAAATGTTCCCTGAAAAGTATGGCTCTTCAAATGCTTTAATATTCTAAATTTGGCATGAAACAACATATTGCACATGTTTGTGTAGTCCCATATACATATTTATGTGTACAGTGCTTGTAACTTTACCAAGACTGGGCCAAATTTTGTATCGTTTTGATGATACCAGAACCTTGCAGTACACACCAATACTTGTATGCTAGATGATCCACCTTTTCTGACCGATTTCACACCGTTGCTTTCACAATGCAATTGCATGACCAGAACTCATTTTTATCTCTAAGCATGGGTGCGCCTATTTGTGTGTAACATTTTTGGTTAACCCATGAGATTATACCTATTTGGCAAATCTTACTAAGTTACTATCAAAGCCATTCTGCAAAATATTATTTAGGCTCTTATTCATAAACAGGTGTATAGTCATGAAATTAAATCCATGAAAAGTTGTAAATTTCTTAGTTATACAAATTAACACTTGATTATTGTGAGATTATTATAGATACGACTGCTATGAGAGGTCTGGCTGTTTGTATAGGCTCAAGGGGACGGGACATTGCATCCTGCCATGACCTGAGCAAAATAATTGAAACTGATGACTGCGACATGTCAACCCCTCCCTCTTTCTACCATTTAAAATGGATCTGGTAACTTTGTCTCAGATTCTGAAACAAAATCCTGGATTTAGCTCATGCTGCAATGATAATTATAAACCTCTAGGTCAGTCAGGAACCCCATGACTTTTACAAGCCAATCGCCTGTCTGATTATCAAGATATTTATGATTGGAAATAGAAAGCAAATTTTGCGTTTTCCTAATGATTTTCATAACACTACAGTCTATTGGGAAAAACGAGTGGTAAAACCGGTCACTCAAAGATTATTACTTTTTTGAGGCACTTCTTGATCATTTTGAAGCTTTTGAAGTTTTGTAGGGCTTCAAAATTACACCATATCACAGACACCGATAACACGTAGGGCCGTACATCTCAGATTTAACATTGTTAAACGATGCCTTTATCACTACAGGTGTGAAGGGGCTGAAGATGCTTGGTATCAATCATGAGGCAATCATCTTCCTCATGGAGCAGCTCTACGGAGCAGGCAACTGCCAAAAATACAAGTTCAAGTTCCACAAGCATGAGGAGACGGCTGAAGATGATGTGAGTATCATTATGGAGTTAAGATTCATTGAAAGCAAATGTTATAAAGAAGTTTGCCCTTACCGGTAATTACCTTTTGAAAACTAATATTGTATTGTGTGATCTTTTTCACATTCTGTAGAAAAGTTGTTTACATTTTTTTTCTTTTTTTTTCTTCAATCAGGAACCTCCGGTTAACCCACATGGATGCGCCAGGGCAGAGGTCTCCAAGCGAACTTCGACCTTTGACATCTTCAACTTCCTGGCTTCCCATCATCGTAACCGACCAATCTTCAATGAGTTTGAACAGCAAGATGAGACGTCTGATATACAACATAAATCATCAAGGTAAATTCCCTTGTTACACTGTCCTATGCCAGTTATGTGTTTGAATAGGCAGTTTGGGATTTCTATTTGTTCCCCTTCTTCAAAATTTAATGATTATGTACCCAGCAAGAATCTCACAAAAAGAAAAATCTCAAAAAGAGTTGCCTGTAAATAATTTGTTGGCTCTTCTAGATGTAACTTATAATTTTCATTAAAGCCCATCTGCACAAGTTTGGCCAGGGGGGAATTAGACCTCCCTGCAAGGTCACTGACAGGTGGTTATCTCGTCAAATCAGCTCTCAATTAACATAAGAAAAAGAGGATCATGGGGGACCAACAGGCACCAATTAGGCATTGTTTGCTGTATAGAGGGTGCAAGTAGCTATAAGTAGTACAGTGGGGTTTAAAGCAACTATGTTATCAAAGGAACATTATAAGCCCATTGTGCACACACATTGGCGATGTAATTTGTAAAATCGAATGTTTTAAATCGCTTGATAATTTTTGGTACGAGTAACTAAGTTATGCAAAGCTTGCATTGCATGTGCAAAAGGATTAATATTGACGCGAAGTGGTCTTGAAGATGATTTTGATACATTTAGTCTAATGCACCTTGATGTATGACCATCAATACTATTTGTTAATTTGATTGTATTTTGTTTTATCAGGAGAGCAACAAGTCTTCAAGATCTGCCTATGGCTATGAGGTTCAGACATCTCAAACAAACAGCTAAGGAAGCTGTCGGTGTATACAGGTAAATAATCATTCCCTTATAGAGTCAATAGGAGTGTTTCACTAAGACTAAGATCCACTTTAAGTTGGACTTCAAGCCATTCATGCCACTATTTTCTCTCATCATTTAATGGCATTGGTTTCTCAATGGACGTACTAATCGTGGTCACAAATCTACCGAATTTACATTTTTTGATAGTTCATTATTGTAGGAAAGAATATTATCTAAAGATCATAATTGAGAGACCAATGGTGAGAGCAACTAGTGGCATGAACGGCCGGCCATAGTTAAGTCTAACTTAAAGTCGATCTTAGTCTTTGTGAAACACCCCCAGGAGTAATCTGTTTTGTAATGTTAAGTATAGGGCAATATGTAAGCCATCAAAACAAATGTACCAAGTAGCCAGAATTTTTGATGTCTCCTGTACCTTCTAGATATTTCATTTTGATACTGAAATCGGAAATGTGCATAGTTTGCCAACCTTCCTTATTTTGGAGGAATGATTCTTTGGCCTCCAAACTATTGTTATGATTCCTATCTTTCTCTGAAAACTTCTGTCAAAAACAAATGTGTTCCAGATTCTGTCCAGGAAAGATGTATAAGGTGGAAATTCGGGAAGTATAAATGTGTTAGCAGTGGACTCAAAACCAATAAGTTACAAGAAATAATTTTGGAGGATATTTGTACTTGTCTAAAACTAGAGATTGCAAGCTTTCTGATCACACTTACCGCTTCTGGGCCACTGCATGACATCTCCTGAATTATTTGTCATTGTAAGAGCAGTTAATTTATTCATAAAAGTATATTTTACCCAAATTACCCATTGTCAGATTTGCTATTTTGTAGTGATTTTGAGTTAGCCGCTCACATATTTGGTTTAGTTAAAAAGAATTGGAAATTTAAAATTATTATCGTTAGTTTGTGGTATGACAGTGTTTGTCATGCCAAGATCCCTCTGAACGATTTCATTGGAAGGCTGCAAATAGTTGTATTGGTTTCATCAAATTATCCTCTAATCAGTAGAGGTTTTATTAATAATAATAATAATAATATGGATATTTATATAGCGCTGGTATCCACCAGGCTCTGGCGCTTTACACATATTACCCTGGTTATAGCATAGCTGCCAAAGTAACTAGCGCTCAAGCATATCAGGTACCCATTTACCCCTGGGTGGAGAGTGGCAAATGTAGATTAACATGAAATATTGAAATAATTTACTTCTTTCTGACCCACTACAGATCTGGTATCCATGGGCGTGGTCTGTTTTGCCGCCGCCTCATCGAGGCCGGTGAGATGGTGATTGAGTACAGCGGGATCGTCATCAGATCTATTCTCACGGACAAGAGGGAGAAATATTATGAGAGCAAGGTAAGCACCTGTTCACATGTACATTGAATTCATTAGCTCTCCAGTGTTCTCTTTCTATATCACTACGAACATCATCTGGGAAAGTTTCATTACTTGACTACAATATATAACTTGTCCTCAGATTCCATTCAAACTGTCTCATACTTATAAATCTTTAAGTTGAATTTTTTTTTTTTTTTTTTTAGTGTGTCATGTTGGCATTCTTACTTGTGTCATTAACAAAATGATTGTCTCTGTGTCCTAGGGTATTGGATGCTACATGTTCCGTATTGATGATTTTGATGTTGTTGATGCCACCACCAGCGGCAATGCTGCTCGCTTCATCAACCATTCATGTGACGTAAGTATTACACACTTTATTCAAACTTGTAGCAGCGGAAATAATAATAACTTTTGATTTATTTACCGCATAATAATAACAATAATAAAGTTTTATTTACCCAGGGTAGCCAGTTCAGTTATGAAACTGCTCTTCCAGCGGGCCCTGCATAACATAATATGTTATTACTACCCTTCTCCAATCTAATATGCTGAGCACCGAGCTAGAAGGCAGAAGGTCCCATTGTTATAAGTCTTTGGTATGACTCGGCCAGGGTTCGAACCCACGACCTCCCGTTCATGAGGCGGGTGCTCTAACCACTGAGCCATCATGCTCGGTTTGAATAATAAACACTCAATTCTCTATGCCATTTACATTAAAAGAGTACGCTTACAATCTGCATCAACATATATAAGAGGACAAATAACACCACTACATGCACACCGACACATCAAAACGAGCATTGTTAAACTACTGTAAGAAAATGTGTGTCCTTAAGGCTCTCTTTCATTATAAAGGAAAAAGATTCTAATGCAATTAATCTTAAAGCTTACAACCAGATCATAAATTTATTTGATCATAAAGGAAATACAAGGTTCTGCGTCATTCCTTGAAATAAAACATTTATGACAAAATGTTCATCCCTATCGAGTTTCTCTTCATTCTCGTGTTCAATGTCACCATGTTTGAATACTTACTTCTATTTTTATGGAAAGATGTAGAATTAAAGAGTTTAAAGCCGCAAAAAACTATATTACAGGATATTCTAAACTATAATATCCCAAGTATCTAATTAAACTACATTCAAACTTGTCTACAGCGACTGCCCAAGGGAAACACAAAAAGTGGTCTTTTAATACATGTTTCAATGAGATACCATTTTCAATGGAAACAAACAAATGTGCTTTTTGTTGACAGGGGTCACTAAAGCAGGTTTGACTGTATTAGATGCTCATTCAAAAGTAGAACAAACTTGCCTAAGATTCTAAAAGGATAAAGACAGTAATTGGACAGTTAAGAAGAACAATATCTTGATGCCAGAACAAAGATTCCTGTTACCAGATAATCAGTCTTGTGTCAAAATTTAGAAAAATAATTGTTTTCTGCTCTCTTTTCTTCCAGTCTAACTGCTTCTCCCGTGTGATTGAGGTCGGAGGCCAGAAACACATCATCATCTTTGCCAGCCGACGCATCGCGAAGGGAGAGGAGCTCACCTACGACTACAAATTCCCCATTGAGGATGTTAAGATCCCTTGCAACTGTGGGTCCAGGAAGTGCCGCAAGTACCTCAACTAGGGGAACCAACCCTGTTTGAGAAGCCAAGTGAAGCAGAGTTGTCTCTTTCAGAAATCGAGCTCTGCTACAGCGAAGGGAGAGGAGCTCACCTATGACAACGAATTCCCTGTCGAGAATGTCAAGATCCCTTGCAACTGTGGGTCCAGGAAATGCTGCAAGTATCTCTACTAGAGGAACCAACCCTGTTGGAGAAGCCACGTGAAGCCAAGTTGTCTCTTTCCGCTACAGCTGTGGCTATGGACAATACCGCCAAGGACCTCAACTAGCAGGACTTTCAATTGGGCAGAACAAGTCCTTCAGAGAGATCCCCTGCAACTTTGGCTCCAGGAAGTTCCCAAGTTCCTGAAGTAGGCCGCCTTCAACTGTGGGAAGCCTCAGAGTGGTCCAGGTCCCCTGCACCGATGGCTCCAGGAAGTTCCTGAAGTAGGCCGACTTCAACTGTGGGAAGCCTTGGAGTGGTCCCGGTCCCCTGCAGCTGTGGCTACAGAAACTGCCACAGATTTCTCCTTTAGGCTACCTACAGCCATTCCTACATCAACAGAGATGGCGATGAACTTGATGAGGAAGTTATGTAATTTTACTGCAGTGAATAACTAATTTTGACCTATATTGGACGTAACTTCCGACATGAACCAACTTGAAATTGTTTTGATGGAGACGAAAGAAGAAAGAAGGTTTTGACTAGATTCATATGAGCTTCATCACGTGGCAACAGTTCTTGCAACTCGTAGTCAAGGAGAAAGAAAGCTCCTTTGAAGTCCAAAGTGTTGGAGCCAAGCCCTACATACTGCATATCTGATTGACAATCTTGCCTGATTCTGATAATCGTACCTGATATTGACAAGATCGCAACTTGAGTGTACTAATTCTCCTGGAATTGACACCCGAACTCATACTATGAATTGCTCTCCAAAGCTTTGGCTTGAGTTAAGTCACGTTTCCAAGGAGAACATCATACATGCCAAACTTAGTCTACTTTCATTAAATATTACACCAGACGGCTTACATCTATTTTGTTTTGAAGATGAATGCATTAGGAACCCATGATGTATCAGGTCACCACCTCCCCTCGGCAAACTTGTATATCTTGCGACCTTTGACCTGAAGGTCACTCAGAAGACACAAACTCTCAGGACGACGTTAAAATGAAATGTACAGTGCTCATAGATATTATTGTTCACTTATTGATTTTTTTTTAGCAATAAAGATGTGATGTTTTTGAAAAGCATTTCTAGCAGAGTTCTACAAGAGTTTATGGAAGTACTATGTGCTAGATGTTTATACCTCAGTGCTTGTGTTGTTGTTGTTGTCTATGCAGCTTGTTAATCATTTAGTGCAGTGTTTGTATAGTTTATGTGTAGATGTTTGAAATTGAAACATGATTATTTATTTGCTGTTAAGTTGTTTGCAATTGTAACCCTCAAACAGAAAACTCTTAGAAGCATACCGGTAATTAAAGCAGCACAGGTTTCACGTTACATTACACGTTACTTTACAGGTTACAAAACAGGTTTTACGTTACAAGACATTACATACAGTTTTACTAGACATGATTTTATGCTCCACACATCTTTATGTTCCCTATTAGATTTGGTTAGATCAGAATGGGAGATTTTATCGTACACAATGGACTGATAAATGATATCTTTAGCAAAGGAATAGTCACCTACCTGCGTTCTTACTTGTGATATCACTTGTACACTTCTTACAGTACATGCGTCATCTTTTGCATGAGGCAAGATTAATTTTTGAAAGTCATTTTTGCTGAAAAAAAACGAGGTGTTATAATGTTCCAATTTATTTCACATTAATTCTGATGGTATTTTTTAGCACTCCGCCTTACTATTGTCGTATTTTTTTTTGTCATTCTTTATTTAACAAAAAAAATTGTTCTCACACTGAATGGATATTGTTTAGAGAACTTGGTTGAAGTGATTTGTGTTTGTTTGGTCATTCTGAAGCATAGTGAAAGGGTCAAATTACCTTTCTGAAAAGTTATTTGATTGCTGTAGTTAGATAAGAAATAAAATTTAGATTGATTGTGTTACAAGAAATATATTTCAACTCCCTGTATATTTATTTTTGGCTAAGGGAAACTCAGAGTGAAAAGGTAAAGGTAACTCATGAATTTGATTTTTTTTAAATTGTTATTATAATACCTGTACATATTCCTGGGTGTCTTTGCTTATATTTGAAAAGTGTTTCATTTTCAAAACATTCCTACCAGACTAGGATTCAGTATTAGTCTGTTGCTGCAGTAGAGGCATTTTTGTTTGTCTGCGTAATTGTTTCCTTATTTAAATCATTTTCTGAATTTGGGCCCGCCTGATATGTGTATTAAGGCGGTCACTACCTTTTTACATCGCCTAAACGTTTTGTGTGCGTGTTTATAAAAAGATTTCGCCAAAGTTTCATGCCGTGAAATAATTTAAATCACCGCAAACACCACACAAACTCTGACAAATCACTCACAAATACATTAAGCATCGCTGTCATTTATGATTCACTAAGTTCTGGTTTTACTAGAGAGATTATTATCTGATCATTATTATAGTTGTTATTTCTACTGCTATTATTATTATTGCCCTTTGGGAAATCGTGCAATTCCCAAATTATTTATGTTGCAGCATTACCAATGATGTTTTCTATGTATTGGGCATAAGATGATACCTTACTTTTCTCTAATGTTAAAAACCAAAAATCACGGATCATTTCAGAATTTGGGGCACAAAGTGGCAGGGAGAAAGCATGCACAAATATTTAAATGCTGTAACTTGTACACATATAGCTCAGTCAATCTGATATTTGAAAACCCTTAGAATCCAGCATCCTTGAAATTGATTCTTTACTTTAGCTTGTATTCAATCGTAGTCATTCTAAAAAATTGCCAAATCTAGTTGTTTGTTTTTCGACAGACTATTTAAAAAAATTCATGTCTTGTAAGTATCTTTGATGAATTTTGAAAGTTGAAGTGAATTTCAGCTTTATTTTTGTATTCCTAGTTTTTCTATTTAGCGCTTCCTCAAAACCTGATAAAATAATGATATCATAAGTGTTCATTTGTGATTTATTATTTATTTTTTTGAAGTGCATTTTTGTATCTGTTGATATCATGATATATCAGGAAACAAGGAGTTATTCCCATTGTTTGTTTCCTTGTTTGTTACAAATGTTTACATCAGTTGTCAATGCAAATAAAAGTACTTTTTTAAGTTTAGTAGATACTAATTTTCATATTACTTATCTGCATTGCCAAGATGAGAAAATAACTCAAATTTGATATGTTAGTGGGTGGTAAAACCGCAGTCCTGTAAATACCGTCTATTTGAATTCATTTGGATTTACTGTGTATGTTCAGAATCTCTCCACTTTTTCTTGTTGTTTTTTTTTTGTTTTGTTTTTTAACAGATCCTTGGTGTAAATGTTTTTTTTTCTTTTTACTTTTTGTTTGTTTGAATTTGTACTTTTGTGTGTACTTCTTCAAATAGGAATATATATTCAAACAAGTTATGATCATATTTATTCATATTCTGAGGAAAATTAAAAGGTTGATAGTGTTTTTGAACAATAAACTGTTTACTTGTGCAATGTTGTATTCTGTTCATTTGAAGATTTGTCAAACGATCAAAACAAAAATTGAGTACCGTAGTCATTTCTACAGATCTGCATGAACAGACTGAGAAAGAAAGAGAGAGAGAGAGGGGGGGGGAGAGAATAGCTGCAAGATTGAATTCAAATTATATGTACTTAAAAAATAAATAAAAAGTCAGTTACTGATGCAACTTTCATATCATGACCTAATTAGACAAAAATATTCCATGTTTAAAAAGAATAAACAGCATGGCCAGACACAGTGTGTACCACCCCCTCCCCCCCCCCCCCCCCCCCCCTCTAAATAAAAAAGGCTATTCCTTTTTATTTTGTAAGACAATAGTGGGGCACTTATAGAGTTTCAGGGATTCGCCACTAAAGGCAAGTGAAAGTATTTCGAAACATGTTTTTAAAAAAATGGAATTTACTCTGTCATTCTTCGAGTAATTCAATTAAATAACAATTTAATTACATAATGAATACATATATAACAAATACATTTTTTGGGAAGGACGCTTAAGAAAGCAAAGCTTATTATATTAGGAGGGGCCCTGTATAAACATAAAGAAATAAATGAAATGTGAATGAAATTAATCAACAAACGATGATTATACAATAACAATCATACACAAACCACCCCCCCCCCCAAAAAAAAAATGGCATATATATATACAACAAACGCAGAACAGTTACATAGAAGAAGAAAAGGGATATTAATTAGTATATTTATAGGGTTTTTTCAATGTGTTTGTTTATTTGTTTGTTTTTAGAATAAACAGTGAAGGCCATGCAATCATGTGTTATGTTCTCAATTTTTATTTGCTATTTCTGAGAGACCTTAGACATAGTAACTAGAATCACTACAGGTGGAAATGGGGGAAATGCCTTTGGATATAAGAAGACAAATGCTTTCAAGTAAATATAGACAAAACATCGAAAGATGGGCGAATCATCCGTTGTTAAAAAACATTGAACCATGTTGGCATTTTGAATACTTGAAGGGGAAAAACGTAAACAAACCTTTTGGATATAGAATACAAAGCAAGCTGGGAAAACGTATAGAAACGATAACCTACTCCCCATTTCCACCATGGTTATTCTACCCTCCGGCAGTGTCAACGGAATTAAGTACTCGAATAAAGAAAACAGATCATCCTACACAACAAAAACAAAGCAGCCTGGAAATCATACATACTAAATGGGCGACTCAATTACATATATACACCGATGGATCAAAAGTACCTGAAAGAGGGACCTCTGCAGCTGCTTTTTACGTCCCTTACTATTCTGTACATCGGAGCAAAAGGTTAGCAAATTTCACCTCTTCGTACAGGGCTGAATTGGCTGCCATCATTCTTGCTCTCAGATGGGTAGATGAATTAGACATATGTGGGGGTTGTTATTTTTAGTGATTCACTGAGTGCACTTATTGCATTACAACAACAGAAGGACGAATCTTTTATTCTGGAAATTCTCACCATGACTACTCACTTAAAGAATAAAGGAGTTGATATATATGTAGAGTGGATACCTGGACATTGTGGAATAAAAGGGAACGAGATGGCGGATTTCCACGCAAAGGCCGCATTAGTAAAGAAAATAGAAGTCAATAATAACCTAAATATGTCAGAAATGAAAAGCTTAATTACTACAAGTTCCAAACTCCTTTGGCAAGAAAGGTGGAACAAAACCAACTCGTATTTGAAAACATATCAAAAGATGTTAATAAACCATATATATGCTCATTAGAGAGACAACATTCAACAATAATACATCGACTCCGCTTTGGAGTCCTTGGACTTAACCAGGATCTCCTCAGATTGGGAATTCATGCTACTGGTTTCTGTAATAGATGCCCCAGTGAAATAGAGACTGTAAAACATTTTTTAGTACATTGCCCTAACTATATTATAGAAAGGGCTATGTTTCTAACAGAAATTAACGAATCCCAACCTGAAAAAATTATGGAATACTTAAAAAAGAGTGAGTCCAGTATACAAAAAGCTATTGTACGGTTCTTTCTCAGAACGAAACGGTTCCCTATCAGGAAGTAATACCTCCCTTGATGAACAGTAAAATATAATACAATATTATAAATATGCTAAATTACACTCAGTACATTAAAAATATAATAACATAATAATGTAATAAGAAATAAAAAAAGAACAGTAAAACATAATACAATATTATAAATATGTTAAATTACACTCAGTACATTAAAAATATAATAACATAATGTAATAAGAAAATAAAATAAGAATAGTAAAACATTATACAATATTATAATATGCTAAATTACACTCAGTACATTAAAAATATAATAACAATCATAATGTAATAAGAAAATAAAATAAGAACAGTAAAACATAATACGATATTATAAATATGTTAAATTACACTCAGTACATTAAAATATAATAACATAATGTATTAAGAAAATAAAATAAGAAAAAGTAACAACAATGATAAAAGGTATGATAAGATTACTGAATATAGAAGCTTGTGTAGGTGCTATCTTATATACATATTTATGTATGGTGTGTATGTGATATAACAAATAATCTGCACGTACTGTTAAGAACACTAACAAAGCCCATGAATGTTTTGCTTACGATATTATTTTACGATACTATCTTAAAAGATAGATAAATATAAAACGAAATAAATGTATTTTTAAAAAAATCCAAAATTGAGAGATATAACACGTGCCGTAAAGTAATTTGGCGACAATAGTCAAATCACTGACTAATCGCCAATAACTCAAAACACAACAACAACAACTTGGAACACTAATTTACCAAATTTACATTTGTCTTGTCAAACTAAAAATAACAAATTTCCAAGATGAAAGATGAAACAGGAGACCCTCTCTGCTGTTGTGAATTTATCAACGGAAACGGAGAAAGAAGCCATTTACTGGCTGTGTTTTGTGATTGCGAGGATTTGGACGAGTCTTGCGACAGGTACGGGTCCAACTAATTTTCATTTCAGTCCCATTCATAGGATATTGCGTTGTATCATTTTTTGAAGACCGAAAGATCAAAGTTGAAGAAAAAGTACAAGTTTCCAGCAGATATTTTCTGTCGAACACTTAAAAATAAATATATGCTGTTGTTTTTATCTATTTACATATAACATTACTTGAGAGTTAGTTAATTATTTAATTTTAACAATTCAGAAAAAAGTGCAATTCAGTGACGTTTGCAAATGGTTTGTTAGACTAGTGTAGACTCTAGATTAAAGTTGTATCATTTGACATTGTGAGGTCGATGGTCCATCATGAGACATGACTAGACTAGTAGACCCCGACTAATATATCTAGAATCTAGTCTAGATCTAGAATATTTTAGAAAGAAAATGGTGTGATATTGAGAATTCTTTGGTTTGATCGAAGAAAATTTGCTTTTTTGGTCCTTTTTTTCACAGTGATTGATTCATAAATTGATAGAAAGGACTGAGGCTGAGGCTGAGACATTTCCATGAAAATGTTGTTAATACTGGGGTAAATTTTTTTATTTGGATTTTTTTTAATGAGGACATCTGTATAGAGTGAATTTATTTAAATTATCTGCATTTATGTTTTGTTTCTGGTTTTCTGCCCACTTTAATTGACAGGTTTTTCACAGGAAGGGATGTTGGCAGAGACAGGGTAGCAGCCGTCAAAGAAACCATCCTTGACCGTGTACGGATCCCAACATTCCTTGGCCAGGGCGCAAGACGTATTGATGAACTTGTCGACACAACGGCACTCCCACCTCTCTTCGTGATACCCTTCTGGCTCTACATAGCCTCGTTTCACGTCCTCCTCACCGCCTTCTCGTTCATCATCCCACTGGGTGCAGTAGTCTACTACCTCCGTGTTCTCAAGCATAAACAGAGGACACAGTTCTTCATGAGTGTAACGTTAGTTTCCATATTCTCCATGTACTACGTCTTCTCCCTGTATGCTGTCCCCATTGGTGATGTCTCGTCTGTGGAGCATGCTGCTATCTCAATCAACTTGCTCCTTTTTTTTGGAGCGTTCGCGATGACAAAACGTGCAGCAGGGTTTGTAGACTGCAATCAGAGTTCATCAGGATCATCAACAGGACCAGGCTTTGTTAGAGACGGGTCTGAGAGTGGAGGTCAAAGATTTGCTGACATCACACATCTTCACAAGAGGAACAATGGTTCCTCCAATTCACTTTATGAATCAGAGGAGTCTGATTCAAGTCTTGAAAGAGGCCCTTTGATTGGACAGAGTCAGGAGAATGAGCAGCAAAGGACCAATGAAACGGAGGGATCTATACCCACTGATTGGTGTAATGCTTGTCAGATGGTAAAGCCAGCTAGGGCGGGGCATTGTAGGATTTGTGATCGCTGTGTGCATCGGTTGGACCATCACTGTGTTTGGTAAGAAGGAGTTTCTCTGATTATTCAACGCCCTTTTCTATCAGATATTATGATCAATCACACCAATCATGAACTCAGCTTAAACATAGAATAGTGAGGCCTAAAACAGAAGCATTTGGGGGCGGGGGGAACAAGGAGGGTGGGGAGAGTTCTTTTTCCTCCAAGTTGAATTTGGCTTGTAATTATTTGTGACATAATAGAACTTTAAAATCAGCTATGTAAATTAAGAAGGAAAAAACTAGATGGTGGATGTGTTGTAACTGGAAGGTAAGAAAGATAGGGAAAAATAACCTCCCTTCCCCCCCCCCCCCCCCAAAAAAAAAGAAGCTAAATAAAGAGTCAATTAAGTGTTATTTATTTGAGTCAGCAATATATTGCTCATGTGTTTGTGAAATATCTCTGTCAATTTTTGTTTTTTGTTTTTTGTTGTAATATGTTGATCAGTACCATGATCTCCTTTATACTTATCTCAGGCTCGACTGCTGCATTGGTAGAGACAACCACCGGTCCTTCATCATTGCCCTTCTCCTTTTCTTTGGTGGGGGTTGCTGGGGTGCAGGTAGAGGAACATACACTCTCCTTGTAGCCACACAGTATGAAGAGAG